ACAAATGTGGACAAGTGTGATCCAGTGGATATAGTGTACTTGGACTTTCAGAAAGCCTTTGGACAAGGTCCCACACCAAAGGCTTGTAAGCAATTATGGGATAAGAGGGATCCATATGAGTTACTGGTTAAGAAAGGAAAACAAAGGGCATGAATAAATGGTCAGTTTTCATAGAGGAGAGAGGTAAAGATTGGGGTCCCCCCAAGGATCTGTACTGGGACAAGTGCTGTTGAACATACTCTTAAATTATCTGGAAAAATGGGTAAACAGTAAGGTAGCAAAGTTTGCAGACAGTACTAAACTACTCAAGATAGTTAAGTCCACAGCTGACTGCGAAGAGTTATAAATTAGTGGTTACTACTCCAGAAAGTCGTCATGGATGACTCTCTGAAAATATCTGCTCAATGTGCAGCGGCAGTCAAAAAAGCTAGCAATGTTAGGAACTATTAGGAAGGGGATAGAAAATAAGACAGAATATACCATAATGCCACTATATAAATCCATGGTACACCCACATTTTGAATACTGTGTGCATTTCTGGTTACTCCATCTTAAAGATCTATGAGAACTGGAAAAAATACAGAGAGGACCAATAAAAATTATTAGGAGTATGGAACAGCTTCCATATGAGTAGAGATTAAAAAGACTGGAACTATTCATTTTAGAAAAGAGATTAAGAGGGGGTATGATAAAGGTCTATAAAATCATGGTGTGGAGAAAGTGATAAGGAAGGTGTTATTTACCACTTCACATAAACCAGGAGTCTCCCAATGAAATTAATAGGCAGCAGGTTTAAAACAAACATAAGGAAGTACTTCATGCCAGGGGATGTTCTGAAGGCCAAAAATATAACTGGCTTCAAAAAAGAATGAGAAGTTCCTGGAGAATAGGTCCATCAATGGACAAAACCCCATGCTCTCAGTGTCCCTAAACCTCTGCCTACTAGATGCTGAGACTGGACGACAGGGGATGGATCACTTGGTGAATGCCCTGTTCTGTTCACTCCCTCTGAAGCGTCTAGCATTGGCCACTGTTGGAAGCCAGGATACTGGGCTAGATGGACCATTGGTCTGACCCAGCATGGCCATTCTTATGTTCTTATCAGTTATCAGTCACTACTGCTTAACAGTAACAGACCACTGATAGTTTTTTAAAGAATGCTTTTGTAAACATCACTATGGGAATTTTCCAACTAAATCATCCCCATTATTTTTTTTTACTAAAACTTGTAAATACAATCAATTTTCATTGTTAATTTTTTGATAGTGGCCTCTGATCAAAGTTTCAAAAATTAATTATTTAAGAACTCTAAAACCAGTTATAAAAAGCATATACTCTTGCAATAGTTTCTCAGAGGATCTAGCTTGACTACAAACCTCTTTGAAAGTTGATAGTATTAAAATAATTGTTCAGCTTTGTCTTATGGCAGTTAAATAATGTGGCAGTCCCAGTCTGAATAAACTTGGAAGTTTCCCACCTGGAAATTTGCTTCAGTACTTACCTGGGACGGTAAGGCTTACTCCCTATCATCTTCTGAAACCTGTATATAGCTGGGGTTACTCAAGGTGTAAAACTTTCTTCAGGACAATGTTTTCATAAATATACATACAGAAATGCTTGATACTTATAACAGAGGAAAATGATTTCTTCTTGCTTGCCTGTCTGTCAATTATCTGTTCCATCTTTCCAAATTCAGGGTGGGGTCTCCAGAAGAAGTATGGATGGTAAGAGGAAGAGACTGGCTGTGCTATCTCCTAATCCACTGCAGCGGGAGACAAACCTGGCTTAAAGACTTGTGAAGAAAAATGGCACTTGTTAACATGGGTACCAAATTAGAGCTTGTGTCAGGGCAAGATGCCAAAGTGAAATTCTCTGTTCATCTATAAAACAAATAAGGCCTGGGCAGCCTCAAATTTCCCCCCATGACTACATCAAAGCGCCTTCAGACTGACTTGAAGAAATGATCTCTAATGGTGAGAGGATACTGCAATTCTACCCAATCAGTCCATGGCATGCATACAGAAATTATCAACATGGGAGCTAAATATGATGCAGGCAGCATTTTTTTAAATATAAATATTTATATGTAGGAGCTAGACAGACTACTAATTTATTTCACAAATACATCTCACTGATGTATTTGTCACCAAATATCAATCTCTCATCATTAACCTGGAGTGAGTGGACTTTGACTGGCAACCTAGGCTCTGTATTCCATTACCAGTTTACATGAGACAAACAGTATTTTGGGCATTTGTAAATGCATTCATATGACAAACATTTATTAATGTGTATAGTGAAATTTTCAGTGTATAAGGTATTAAGAAGCACAAAGATTCAAATCGGACCTGTATATCCTGTAGGTGCTTCTGAAAATCTTCCCTGTATTTAGGTAGACAAACTTTTTAAAATTATATATCATTCAATGAATTTTAAGAGAATATTTCCGATCAATGAGTTATATCTTTGCAGTCTACATAGTTGCATGCCTGGAAAGGTTGGAGGCAAAATTTACACTGGACAATTAGAAAGGTATTTATTTACAATTTATTTCAAAGAACATTTTTATGAAAACAAATTAATTAAAAATTCAGTGGTACTAGACTATTTTAGGATATTTGCAATTGCAAAACTGGTAAGTTTGCTAAAATGGAAAAACACTAGTTTTCATTCTCCTGATAACCTTGCTGGTCCCAACCTCACCACTTTATTTCCTTCTTGCTTAGTTTAATGTTTACCATATTCTAAGTCTATGGCTCATAATAATTGACCTTTACCATAACAAATAGAATAATTCCAGTTACCATTAAGCATCAAATGCATTTATTGCTGCATAATTCACCAGCCTTACTCCTCAGTCTGGCTTTGCCTTGTATGTATTTGTTTTCAAAAGGAAAACGTTATATTTGAAAGTTATAATTGAGAATTCTGTAAAATGCTTCCTTTACTGAAAATTGAAATTTGACAGTTGGGGTTTGTCTTCAATGGACTTTTTACCTTGAATTAATTTATTGCCAATTAATTCAGGGGAACTAATACGTTTGTAAAGGCTAGCATGGATATTCCCAAAATATTTTTTCCCAGGACACAAGCATTTAATCCTTATCCTAGGACTCCGCCCTTAAAACACCGAAAACAAATCTGTTATCTGTAGTTTTTAAAGGAAATTTTAAACAAAATTAAAAATCAACACAATTTAAGTTTACAGTGTCCTTTCAACTTCAACTAATTACCCCAACTTCCTGGCTGGGGCTTAGGTTGAGCACAACACAACAGTCAAATTTTACTTTAAGACAATTGGCATGTCAAATCACCTTTACATTTATTATTCTGACTCTGGATATATTGTGGTTTTATTTTTACATACAACTGCAAAATATAGATATTCTACCCCCATAATCAAACTTTTTAAGAACCATAGGTATATGTTTTAAAATACGTGTTCCAGCTTAAAAGTTTTGCATTATAACCTTACAAGGAAAGAAAGGCTATTAAGAGATGACATCGTCCTTAGAACTATCTGAACTTTTTGCTGACCACCAACACTGTAAAACTTCTTTTCACTGCACTACATCTTTATGCGCATTCATTAGAGATCTCCAGTTTAACATGTACAAGACACCATTAATTATAGTTGCAATTAAACCGAGCTAGCTTTTATTTACAACATAGGAAATAAAGCCCAAGTAAAGGATTACTGTAGCTTGTCCACTGTCAATGGGAGCAATATGCATTTTTATTGTAAACTTCCACACTCCTATCCTATGATTCAATGAATAAAAAACAGATCCTTTTCACAGGAAAGTGCATACTCAGCAATCTGTTACCTGTGACTAGCAGATATGGTCAGGTCATTATTGAGGATTAAAAATTTTTAAACATTTAAAATTTATGTTTAGTTTTTTTTAAGGACATGGGATGTTTAAATATGGTGTGACATATGATTGTGGTCCAAGCTTCTTATAAAAACATGATTTCTTTGTCTTTGTGAACATAAACAACCCCCGCCATCAACCCTCCAAAAAAGTAAAGAACCAACTTTTAGCCTTGCTATCTATGTACCCAAGATAACATCTCTCTCTCTCTCAAAGGGACTGATAGTTTTTTTCCCCCCCTGTCCACATCATTAAGGAAAAAAAGGTTATAACATTAGGCCATAAACATACTTAAATAGGGTTATTTTTGTAGTGTAATTGGGACAGACTCCATGTTCAGAAAGAATGGAAATAGCGAAGTCCTCCTGAGGTCAAGCCTTAAAAGAACACTCTTCAGAACAAACAGAATTAATATCTTATACATTCACACTTATGAAGAAGGATTAAAGTAGGGCTGTTAAACTGTAATCTGAGTGACAATTTAAAAAAACAGGGATTTTCTGTACCACTGAAATAAAGATAGCAAAATCCTTTATGAGAAATGGGATACTTAGAATGTCTAAAAAAGCAGCATTCTGAACACACAGCAATTATGCAGAATCTTTTGAAAACAATATTGGTGCCTATGACATCTATAATCTTTCACATAACATGATTAAATAAAACAGAAAAACGGCCTGTATACATTGTTAATTTTTTTTCAAGTAATGTTATGTACATTTTATTGCCAGTATATGCACAATGGTAAGCAAAGAACTATAAATACACAATGTAGTTAAACAGTAGAAAACAAAGAAAGTTGCACACAAGGGAGGAGAGAAAGGGGAGACACTACTTTCCTGATGCAGCTGCTAAAAAAAAAAAAAAAAAAAAAAGTCCAGTGACAAATAATGAGAATTTTCCTTTTTTAAAGTTTTTACATACATTTCTACATTTCCCCCGCCCAAAGAAAACATCTCTGCAACAGCAGCAAACTGCTTCTTTAATAACCATGTCTCAACTTTCTCTGTCAGATTCACTTTAGATTAAGTGAAAATGACCTCTCACAGAGTGTAACTGCAAGTATCCAGCTCCACTTTTTTCAGTTTTGTCTTTCAAGGTAACTAGCAATTGAAGTGCATTTGGCTACATGATAAAGAACAGGGCTTCGAATACACAGTAGCAAATGGTGATTTGAAAAAATAATTAAAAAAAAAGATTTCTATAGACAGTTTTTCCACAAGACACTATGGGCAGCAGCTCAGTCAAAAGTAATCACCCTGAAGAGGTAGAGAGAATTTTAGCGTAGCATAGAAGAACATCCTTGGCACTGCTATTTTCTCTCTTACCAGGACACATGTCCTAAAACTAGACCATACCATAGTAAAAAAAACCCAGGTTCCATCATTCCTGGATAGGGTGCTGTTTTACCCCATCTCTCAGCTAAGTAGCTTGTTGATTACATCTGAGAAACAGAAAGACATTCAGGGACATATATTTACTTGATTTTTGTTCTCTCTTTCCATTATCATAAATACAAAGAAGCATTATTAACAATAAACTAAAATTTAAAAAATAAAACAACCTGAAAACATTTTCACACCTTAATCCAGATGGGTCTTGATGATGCTATTCAAGAAAACCATGCAAATAATTTGGTGCAGCTTTCCCAATTCATCCATAACTTTTTTTTTTTTTTTTTTTTGGAAAAAGTGGCAAGATTCATAGTGCTTGTGATTCTCCCCCCACCCTAAAAATTCAGTGCAGAATGTTGTAGTGCTTTTAAAAAGACAAGCAATGAACTGCACTGTTGTCATATATCCCCCATGTGAGTTACAATACAACACTACTGGTTCCAGCAACTAGGTTGAGAGGAAACATTCTAGTGATAAAGATAAATACATACTGAGCATGCTTGGGCAGAGCACTCCACTCTGAGGCATCCTGCTTGAAGAAAGGATGGTGACAAGGATGGTTCAGGTCCATCAAGTAAGTGTTTTCTCTGCTGCTAGAAAGCAGGTTGTCACACTATCACCAATTTTGCAACACTGGACCCTGAACAGGCTGTCTTCCACATTATGATGTGCTAGCTGTACTAGTCCTCTACGGCTCACACTAAATTCTTATTTATGGGACAAACATACAACCAATGAACAATATCACTTTCAAAGAACTGGATCAATCCAGTTTTTTTATGGGCATAATTCTCATACTCCAGAATATCCCAAACAAGATACAAATAAGATGATGTACCATCAACACAGTGACTGAGTCTAGTTGCAGTTCAGACTAGTCCTGCCTTGTTTCATATAATTTCTTCTTTCTAGCAAAGGATATGATATTTAAACAAAACTGCAATAAAAATGGCATGTTATTCTGCAGCCAAAAATAAAAAAGCAAAAGAATTTAGATTTTAACTTTTAAAGCTTAAAGCATTCCTGTTTAATTAGCATTTTTAAAAATTCTTTTTAAATACAGTCATAACACTGGTAAAAGTTAATGGGAAGACACACAGAGGAGTGCGAACAGGAAAAGTGATGGATTAGATTTTTAAAATTTATTGTGTTTTGACCAGCTGATATTAATACTGTTTTCTCCTTGGATTTGGAATAATTCTACTGCAACAGTCACATGCAGGCTGAGGGTTAGCCATCAGTTTAAAAAAATAACAAAAAAAGAAAACAAAAGACAAACTGGAGAGGGGAAAAAAAAAAAAAAAGTTCCAAAGGTGTGTGAGAGAATTTTCCTTTCACTGATATCAGAGTGCCTGTCCTTTCTTTAGAAGACCTGGTTCACTGTCGTCAGTTTCATTAGCTTTGTCCAGATACAACTGCTGCTGTGTCACCTGCTCCAGAGCCTGTTTGTGCACGTTTGATGTAAAGGTTCAATAATTTCATCTGAAGATTTAATTCAGAAATGCATTTGTTTAACATTTATCAGAAACACAGTTTAATAGTAAAAATTCTAAAATAGTCTATCAGTAATAGTAAGAAGACAGACAGTGAAGAAAATTCTAAATAAAGCTGAGTGAATAATGGATTTTTTGCTTCGCCGGTAATGCTGAAACACTTAAATAAGTTTTGTTTCAGGTCAAACCGAAAATGAATTTTTTTTGGCGAATCAAAAAGTCTGAAATATTTAGAATAAGGTTGAAACAAAACATTTTGGTTCAACCCAACATTTTTCATTTCAGTTTTGAGCGGTTTTACAAAAATAAAGGACTAGACTCAGAAAATGCCTGGGGGAGGGGAGAAGAGGACCTCTTTTATAATCTTTATCCCAGTATAGTCCTGGGGGAATTCTGCGCCAAAAAATTAAAAATTCTGCAAATTTTATTTTTCAAAACAACACTATATAATCATGCCAGTTTCAATTATTTTGGTAATTTATTTCAAAATAGCTGTCAGCAAGTATGTCTGTAACAATACAGACACTCACAAATTCCCCCAGAAGTAGAGAGTTAAAGAAACCCCTACGACAACCCAGTTCCTGTTTCTCTGCCCCCCCCCCCCAAGACACTCACACCCACTACCCCCCAGAGTCCAGGAATCCAGAGGGAGAAACAGCCTGATGCTGGATCCCAGGCTTGCATGGAGTTTCCCCACATGCCACTGCTTCCTTCCATCAGGGTGTGCTGGGAACTCTTCCTCCCCCTCTCCCCGGCCTTGTCTTCTATTTGCGAGCTGGGCTTCGCCAGGTCCAGCAGCCCCTAGTGGTGACCAATAGCTCTGAGCTCATTTTTGTGGGGGGAAAAAGGAAATTCTGCATGCACAACATTATTTTCTGCAAAATTCTGCATTGTGCAGTGGCACAGAATTCCCCCAGGAGTAGCCCAGTGGTTAGGGTCTCTTCTGAGACATGGGAGTCCCAGGTTCAATTCCCTCCTTTGCCTGATGTGGATCAGGAACTTGAACTGGAGTCTCCCACATCCAACATGGATGACCTAACCACCTGGCTATAGAGTAATTCTCACACTTTCTCCCTGGCCCAATGATTACCCATTGTCAATTATAGTAGATATTCATGGTCATTTATGACAATAGATAGTCATTTTGCCAGGGAAAGAGATTGAGAGCGACTCTCTTGTGTGGTAATTAGGGCACTCAACCTAGGATGTGAGAAATCCAAGTACAAGTCACCGATCCTCATGAGGCAGAGTAAATTGAACCTGAGTTTCCCACACTCAGCACAGTACCCTAACCATTAAACTAAAGATTATAAGGGAGGTCTGGTAACCAAAAAATATTCATCTAACTTTAAGCTTTCGTGGGCTATAGCCCACTTCTTCGGATGCAAGCTTATGCTCAAATAAATTTGTTAGTCTCTAAGGTGCCACAAGTACTCCTGTTCTTTATGTAAATTAAATTTTTCTGCAAATGTGCAGCCATCCAAAAAGATGCATTAAAGATTTTGTGTTTCTCAAATAATACAAAAATAATATGTACTTAAAAGGTTGTGGCATGCAAATTACTTAAGGAGAGGAACAGATAGAAACATAATTGGTTAATTTACTTCTAATGTACCTTTATCTCCCACCAAACAATGACATTTTCAAAAGGCAACACCAGATGGAGCAATGGTGGAGATGAAAGTCAGTACACTGATTATGTTCGGTGTGGAATTACCTACCATCTTATGTAATATATACACAACACTAAGTCAATACACTGATTTTGAAGGTGTACTCAACCATCTTAAGGATGTTTATGCGAAGGTTCCTTAATCTAATTTTTCAAGGAGAATTTTTTTTATATTTTGAGGCACAGTTGTGCTTTTGAGCTAATTTATAATATAACCAAATCTAATCTAACACAGCAAAACATGGGGCCTAATTCAGCATTTCTTATAAATCAATTAAAACTTCACTTGCATGAAGATTGGATTTATGGTTTGCATATTTTTGAGTCTCACATATGAAAGTCACCTTGATCCTCTCTGTTTGCTAGTAGCTTCAGCAACCTGGGTTATTATTCCTTCAGATATATACTTTCTTAGTTTTAATAGTTGCTCACAACTACACCGCATGTAAACATATACATGCAATTAGGGACTAGGATTTCTGTAAATGGCATCCTCCACTTACTTTGCTGCCTGTGAGTTGACTGAGATGTGGTTTTAGTTCATCGCCAATTACTGCATGAATGGCTACAAGGCAGAAAACACAAGCCTTACGAACACTGCTCTCCGAATTATCATAACCCTAGAAAGCAAGGAAATTAACATTAATAGGTAGCATATGACTAAAATTCCAAGAGAGAGATTTCTTTTTATAGATACATCCCCCCCAAAAAATCACACTAAATGAATGTTAAGGTTACCAAGAGAAGCACTCCAAAGTTAGAAAATGCCAAAATTAAACTTGCCCAGGTAAACAGAGGTTATTTATCAGTAACTGTTGTTCTCTGAGAGTCACCTCTGTGCATTTACACTTGTGGAATATGGTGCCCCAAGCATAGAACTGTGGAACTGCCTTGAAAATCCACGTCCATTGAGAAGCACGAGAGAGATCTTGCATGGGTGCAACATCATTGCCCTACTCAACAAGAATGCATCCACCAACCACCTCAACTCCTTCCCTCTAACTGTGGAGTCCAAATGTTATATAGAACTGTGAGGTAGAGAGGAAGGGGGTAGGTAGTATGAATATACAGAGACGACTTCTGAAGAACAATAGTTACTGGTTAGTAATCTCTTTCTTCATCAAGGGTCTCCGTGCACTCCCACTTGTGGGATATCAGCAGGATGATGGTGGCTTCTTAGTTAAATATGGACTGTTGTGCTGCTCTCTCAAACTGAGCATCAGAATGCAACTCTAAGGCTGAGGAGCAGTGCTTTGTGAAAGTGTGCACTGAACTCCAACTTGCTGCTTGCTGAGCTTGAAGTTTCTTACGTACTTGTTGAGGTTTCTGAGGTCCAGGATGGGTGTCAGACTGTCATTCTTCTTGGGCATCAGGAAATAGCAGACATAAAATCCTTTCCCTGGGTGTTGCTAAGGAACCTCATCTTTGGCTCTCTTCTTGAGAAAAGAATCCGCATCTTACAAAGGGATTCTCTCCTATGAGAGGTCCCTGAAGAGGGAGGTAACCATATGGTTGCTTGTGCAACCTTATTTCTGGAATTTCCTAACCTTTGAGAGCTTGTTGTCACAACTGTAATGCCCATTTAATGTAAGTTTCTTAAAAATGTAACTTCCTAATTCTTTTAAACACCCCCCACCAAATATTGTGGAATCAGACTGACCCCCAACTTAACAAATCAACAGAGTTTGGACCATTAGGTCCACAGACATCTACCACTTGAGCTCATGGAGTAACTGGCAGCAGCAGCAGGTTGCCATCCTCCATGTGGACCAACACTAGAGTAGGATGACACACACACTTTGCCAGTAGGTTTCACAGCTATTTGCTGACCGTAGAAGAATGCAGACTCAGGACTACCAGGTTAAATTCCAGGTTCTGAAGGGAGTGTTTGCTAGTGGTTAGAGACCCTTTTTCCCGTTTCACTCAGCCTCTTCCTGTCCTCTTCTGTTCTTAGCCTCTTTTCTCCAGCTTCTTCCCCACCATCCCCATCTGGCTCCTATCCCCCTCTTATTCCTTCCCTGGCTCCTACCCCCAATCCTCTATTCCTGCCCTTCCCCAGCTCCTGCTGTCTGTGTCCCCCTCTTCACTTCTATCCTCCTGCAGAGTTGGGCTAGAATATACCAAGTACAGGTGGAATCTTTGGAGAATTTAGCTGTCAAAGTCTAACAAGTTTCTCCTGAGCATGAGCAAATAGAACTGTTCTGACCTGTCCAAATATGGGCAAGTTTTCATGGGGATAGCAAAAAAAGGCATCCCCCACAAGAGGGCGACTCCTCCTGCCTCAACACCACCAAATTTCAAGTCCTTGGTCCAAAGCATGGAACAAAATAGTGACAGGATTATTATTATTTTTAACGTGGGCAATACAATGCACTTTCCCCTAATCTATTTCTTGGAAATGGCTGAATCATTTTTACTAAAACTTCCCTCCCTGCCAAAAAAAAACCCAAACAACCCCCCCCCCCCCCCCCCGAAAAAAAACCCCCAAACACACATGCCTGAGACACTTAGCAAGGACAATTTCAGTCCAAACTGTTAAGTTTGGCAAAATTATAAGCATCTGAAAACAGGTTCTTATAATGGAAAGTATCTGGCAACCTTACTTATGGCAACATTTCCTGCACTTCCTATAAAGAGGATTATGATGGCACTGTAAAAATATCTTTTGTGCCAAAAAAGTAATACTGGAAAGAAGCACAGCTGAACTGGTACAAAAATTTCCATTTTAATACACTGGTTAACATAAAACAAAGTTTAAAAACATTTAAGCTATACTTCAGTCTGCCCTATCCAAACCTCCGCTCGGCTATGAGACCATTTGGGTATGTCTACAGTGCAATAAAATATCCATGGCTGACCCATGTCAGCTGACTTGGACTCATGGAGGCTTGGGCTGGGGGGGGCTATAAAATTGCAGTATAGATGTTCAGGCTCAGTCTGGAGTCTGGGCTCTGGAACCCTCCCCCTCATGGGATCTCAGAGCCTGGGCTCCAGCCCAAGCGCAAACATCCTCTGCAATTTTTATAGCCCCGCAGCCTGAGCCCTGTGAGCCTGAGTCAGGTGACACAGGCCAGCCACGGGTGTTGTATTGCAGTGTAGACATACACTTTGTGGCCCTGTCTTCTCTCTCTCATTTTTAAAACAGTGGATTTTATACAAAAGAAAATAAAAACTATTTTAAAGGAACAGAGAAAAATATTACATAGTATCTAGAATCATAGAGTATCAGGGTTGGAAGGGACCTCAGGAGGTCATCTAGTCCAACCCCCTGCTCAAAGCAGGACCAATCCCCAGACAGATTTTTGTTCCAGATCCCTAAGTGGCCCCTTCAAGGATTGAAGGTTTAATAGGCCAATGCTCAAACCACCGAGCTATCCCCACCCCACTATACAAAACCTTTAAACTGAATTAATAGAGCCAATTTAAGTCACCCAAATGTATGATAAGATCCTGCAATATGCTGAGCATCTAATAGGTGAAATCATAACTTCACTGGATTAAGATTCTTAATGATTTAGTAGAGATCAGCATGTGGAACATAAACATGATGACTGCATAATATTATTTCTTTAACATGAACCAAGAAATCTCAAATGTTAATTTCAATGTATATCATCACTAGCCACTAGATTAAGAAATCTTCCTGAAAATAAAGTATCACTAAAATGGTTTCAAGTAATCTAATCTAAAGGCTGAAAATGTGTTGCACCTGGATAAACGTTTTTTAATGTTTCTAAAATCTTAGGGATTCTGTGCATTGTGGTCTGTTGAAGTAAATGAGAGCCATTTCTAATCAACGGCACAATTAAAAACTGCAAATAACTAAATTCAGTAAAATGACTGCTAGATTATTCTGCACATCAATACAAAACCAGACCTCAGTTGCCCCAAAACAGATTATCCAATGTTTTCATTCTTTGGGCAACTTCACAAAAGAAAAGTCACCTCATGGACTCTCTTTCCAAAAACCAAATCCCGCCCCCCTCGTTCTTAAAATATTTAATTTTAAGAAATGAAGGGAGAGCTTTACAGGACAGTTTTGAAACACAGATTGAGAACCACTACTTAAAAGTAATCTATTAATAGCCCCTAAAGCTGAAATTTAATGTAATAATTTTATTCTTTAGGAACACATTAAAATGTAATGTATCTCCTTAAAGTCCTAGACTGACTGACTGAGAATCAGAATGATGTTGCTCCAAACAATGAAGATATTTTGGACCTGTTTCGGAGCACACCATTGTGTTTTTTTTTCTGAGGGTCTCCTGTGTTTGGGATCTGGGTCTCTGGCAGATTCCACTAAAGTGCTGCTTTTGCCAGGGCAATAATGTCCTTCGCCAGCATTGAAACAAATACCGCAAACCCCAAAGGCTTCCCTTTGGTCCACCTTCCCAACAAAAATAGAGTCTACACTATAACTACCACTGGACCTGTCTCACCTCTGCTGGATTTGAAGTGTCAACCTCTCCATTTCTCTGTTCTTCCCTGTGACTCAATCTCCTGAGATAAACTTTCTGCGAGTACTGCCCCTTCACCGGACTCACTACATAGCTAATCCTGGCTTCTGCAGCTATACCTTTCTCCCCCTCCCCACCCTTCCTTATACAGCCTCTCCTCCCAGGAGATTGTCACACACACTTTCTTTTGAGTTCCTCCCTCAACCTGACCACGCCATCCCCAGGTATACCAGATAGAGCTCTCAAGCACTCTCTAACCATTCCTGGGCCAGTGTGGGCTTTATATACCCCATCACAGGGCCACAAATGCAACCATCTACTACCCAAATCAAAGTTTTCCATGAGAGCTGAGTGAAATGCTAAAGAGATTTAAACTTCTGGTTTAATTCTTTACATCTGCTGTGGTTTCTTACCTGTATTAGACCTGGCACAATCTCTGGTAAAAGCTGAGCAAGCGTTTCTTTAGATACTCTCTCTATCACTTTTGTCTGCATTTTGATTGCAGCCAGATTAATGGGGTAATCTGCAGTTTGGATAATGGGACAAAGTACTTTGATGCACTGATCTGGGCTAATGGAAGTGGCCAGCATTGAAGCAGCTTCTTCAGCAGATCTCACCACCTAAACAAAAATTAAATAAAACAATGGAGAAAATAGTTTTTAAAAAATGCTTGTGCAGTCTAAATTCTGACAGTTCTGCTCTTGAACCTTGCAGTGAAATCAACAGATGTTTGTATTTTTATTTAGTTTTATTTACAATTTAATTACATATCTGCAGCTCTACAGTACTGTAAAATGATTTGGACTGGAAGAGACCAATAGAGACAAATTTACAAAAATTCTTGGCACTCAGCAAATCCTAAATGCAAGCAGCTCGTCTGAAAATGTGGGTAATAATCTAGGCCTAACCTCTGCATTGTGGCAATACAGACATCAACATTCCCCAAGTCTCCCTGGCCATAGGTGCTGAGTCAAGCCTGGAATCTCTTTAGTGATTGCTATTCCACATCCACCCTTGACAGACTGTTGAAGTTTTTGTTAATATTTTTAACACACAATTTCCTTACTGTAACTCTCTACTTCTTGAAGGTCCTTGCTGATCAAAGACACAGATTTTCCATTCACTCAAGAAAATTATTGTAGATAATTTTAGAAGTAAAAATGTATGTGCTGTTAAGTCTAACTTGCATAAAAGTTAGAAAAAAAATAGCAAAAATTTGCACCAGATTCTTCAACTAATAGAGGATTTAGTAAGGGAACATAACAGTTATTTGTTGGGTGCTAACAGCTCGCAGATCAAGAGGATGTGGATACAAATGGGGAGACTGGACAGGGTTCTACCCTAAAAGGCATGCTTCTGCAACCGTGCTCCCTGCTGGCTGGCACAGCACACAGACAGCTTTGTGATGTACAGAGTGCTGCTTGCTACGTGAAGCTCTAGAACAGGGGTGGCCAACCTGTGGCTCTTCAGAAGTTAATATGCGGCTCCTTATATAGGCACCGACTCTGGGGCTGGAGCTACAGGTGCCAACTTTCCAATGTGCCGGGGGGTGCTCACTGTTCTGCCACAGGCCCTGCCCCCACTACACCCCTTCCCGTCCCTTCCCCTGAGCCTGCCGTGCCCTCGCTCCTCCCTCGGGGAAGGAGGGAGAGGCACTGATTGGCGGGGCTGCCAGTGAGCGGGAGGCACTGGGAGCGGGGGGAGGGGTGGAGCTGATGGGGGGCTGCTGATGTATTACTGTGGCTCTTTGGCAATGTATATTGTTAAATTCTGGCTCCTTCTCAGGTTCAGGGTGGCCACCCCTGCTCTAGAACGTCCCCCTTCACTGGTTGCTTCTGGGAAGGGGTTAGGGTGAGTCTGAACTCACATGCAAGGGCTTGCACTTTCCCTGTCCACTTCCAGGGAAGTAAGAGGGGTGAATGCACCAAGACACTCCCTGCCACGTCTGGCGATTGTATGTGGGGACTCATGGGAGTGGTGAGGAGGAAGAGTTTACAAAGCTCTCGTTCTCTCCCCAACTCTGCCCCCCTTTCTTTCTCTCTTTCATGAACACAGTGAGGGAAAGGGTGTGGAATGGGAAGGGAAAACAAGTGATGGAGAGAATGTAATAATGAATATACTGTAGGGAATAAACGGGGAGGGAGGAAAAAGAGAAAACTGAACACCCTTGCCCTGCCCCCTTCTTCGAGGCCACCCTCCCCACTCACTTCATCCCCATCCCTCTGTCGCTCGCTCTCCCCCACCCTTGTTCACTTTCACCAGGCTGGGGCAAGGGGTTGGGGTGAGGGCTAAGGCTGGGGGCACTCAGGTGGGGCCAGAAATGAGGGGTTCAGGGTGCGGGAGGGGGCTCCAAGTGGGGGGGGTTGGGGTGCGGGCTCCAGAAGGGAGTTTGAGTAGGGGCTTAGGGTTGGGGCAGCGGGTTTGGGGTGCAGGCTCCAGGTGGTGCTTACCTCAGGCGGCTCCCCGGAAGCAGTGACATGTACCTCAGCTCCTAGGTGCAGGGATGGCCAGGCAGCTCTGCGCACTGCCTCTGCCCGCAGGGGCCTCCCCCACAGCCCCATTGGCTGTGGTTCCTGGCCAATGGGAGCTGTGGAGCTGGCGCTCGGGGAGGGGGCAGCCTGCAGAGCCCCCCTGGTTGCCCCTACACCAGAGGGACATGTCGCCATTTCTGGGGAGCTGCGCAGAGCTGGATAGGGAGCTTGCCAACCCTGTGCCAACCGAACTTTTAACGAGCGCTGACCAGAGCCACCAGGGTCCCTTTTTGACCGGGTGTGCCAGTGGAAAACCGGGCACCTGGCAACCCTAATTTTACGGTGGACATTGTAGTTATATTTCTTTTATATATCAATACAATTATGTCTCCTGTTTCCACCCCGCCCCCCCCCATGTGTATGTCCTACATCTGGGGGAGAGAGAGAGAGAGAGTGTGTGTGAGAGAGAAAGAGAGAGAGCGCGCGGTACTGTGGCTTCCTTCTCTCTGCATGTTTTCCCACCCCCTCCTTTCTACCCTTCACATTTAATTTCACTGTATTTCCCTTTTCCTTCTTTATCCTCTATCCCCACTCTGCATCACCTGGTTATCCTGTCATATCCATGTGTTCCCTTTGCTCCCCCTCTATTGCTGCACCAACGCTATGAGAAAAGAACTTTCAAACATGTCCCCCCAGGAGTATAATTTGGCTAAAAAGCTGGATGGGATAGAGCTGTGGTCCCTTGTCATGTTCAGTCTCATCCTCCAACACATGCCCAGTGGCGCTGTTGGTCAAAGCAACACAGTGCAAGGCCAGGTGTGAAATTTCTTGCCTCCCCCAACACTCCACCCAGCCACTAATTGGCCAAAGATACTAGGTAGGGAAAAAGCTGCAGTCCCATACCGCACTGATTCCAGTGGCAGGGTTCTTCTGTTTGAAGGGACATGGTTAAAGCTGCATGACACCCAGGACGGCACAAACAGTTTAAAACCATGAAGTCGCACTATTAACAGCATATATGTTACAGCAAACAGCATGTCAAGGAATTTCTAAAGTGTTGGTATCTTTATACATAATTGAGAGCATTTCTGTATATTATTAAAATGGATTACCAGGCTCTGGATTAACCATGTTGCTACAAAACATTTTAGAATTTGTCAATGGACACAGAACCATCATATATGCTCTTTGCAACAACACCATGCCATACAAGTAGATTCTCATAGGGTTTTCCATTGACACCTTTTGTTTACTTTTAAAGAGCTTCTAAATCTCCAGGTGGTATAGTAGACACAACTTGCAGTCAGATTAATTTGTTTTAGAGAAGTACTAAAATGAGGAGAACCATAATATTTGCTCCTTTTCTTCTGTTTACAAAAATTATATCAAGATGTATCTTTTCTCACCTTTCCCTCTGTTGAACTAGATGTAGCATTCATTTTATGCTTCTGCTTTTCTGAGAAATACACTTTGAAAAGCAAAAACATGATAGTGATGATACAATATAAAAAGGTTTCCCCGTGTACACATTTCTTCCAGGACCTATAGCTTTATAGGGAGGCAATCTCCTTTATCCTTCTACTAGTACCATCTGATGCTCATATTTAATTGGGTGCATCTGTGTGTCATTTGGGGACAATAGGTAAGTAGGAATCCACTTTATTAGGGTTGAAATTGTGCATTTCAGGGTCCATAAGACAGCAATTCTTCCTACTATAGCATGCCTTTATTAACCAATATTTGCTGAATCCTTGACTATCAAACCAATTACACCTCTACCCCGATATAATGCTGTCCTCGGGAGTCAAAAAATCTTACCGCTTTATAGGTGAAACCGTGTTATATCGAACTTACTTTGATATGCCGGAGCACGCAGCCCCCCCACCCCCAGAGCGCTGCTTTACCGCGTTATATCTGAATTTGTGTTATATCGGGGTAGAGGTGTACTTCCCCATTGGCATTTGAATCATTTATCAAGCATGTTCTTCGAACATTACATTTGATTTGTGCTTTGACATGTATCATCCTCAAATACACAAAACACACAGAGCCGCTTACTAACCTCCTTATGAGGATCCTTATGAGCTTCTAGTGTCTTCATAATTGTAAGCTCCGCATAATTTTTAAATCTTGCTGGTTGGTTCCTTAGAATTTCTCTTAAAACTTTCAATGCCAAAGCTCTGATTGCATGCTAAAGGTTAAATATTGTATATAATTGAGTTATTTCTCTTTGAATGGACAATGTGCTTTTAATATTAGCTCAGCAATTGGACACAAACTTGTTTGACAGTGGAAATATAATGTAAATTATAATACGCTCCCCGCAAATGCATACAGTACAAGCCTATTCATTCAAGCTATAAGCATATGGAACTACCAGAAAAATCTTTACATCATCCCAACCCATATTCTCACCCCTTCTCTATACATATATCTTACATGGTGTTATGAAGTTTTTACTAAGCAACGTATGTAGATACAATGTATGCCTGCAAAATCACAAGCAACATATGCAGATCATCCCAAGTGAGCGCCAGTAAAACCTTTACACAACACTATTCCCATATTTTGTCTAAATCACTTATTTTACAAAAAAATGGTTTAGAAATATTTTAGTTTTCAAAAATGTTATTGCAATTTTTGAGTCCCTCTGATTGAAAAGACATGTCTAGTTCCAAGTCTAACTATGGTATACTAATTACAGTAAGCCTAATTATATGGAACTGAAAGGGACTTGCCAATTATAACTACATTTTAGAAGCCTCTAAAATTACTTAAAATTTATTTCCTATACATAATGTTGTATGTGTTTTAGAATTTTCTACCTTGGAACATAGCAGGGGCTAGCAAAAGCTAAGTTTCGTATTCTCCCAGAAAGCTAGGGAAACCATCTCTCTCCTACCCCATATTCTCCTCTTTTGGAAAGGTGTACACACTAGGGATGTAAAATATTAAATGGTTAACTGGTTAACTGGTGAGGATTAGTCTTACTGTTAACCCACACTAACTGTTAATCCCCTGCGTGCGGGTCTTGAACCGGTTCTCCTGCAACAGACTGACCTGTGCCCCAGCTGTGCCAGCCCCAGCCCAGTCGGGGCGGGAGGTGGGGTGGGGTTAAAGTAGTCCCCGGCCTCCCCCAGCGCCACTGGAAGGGGTTTGGCTGAGGAGACGGAGGGCGCATTGGTCAGTGAAGGGAAGGGAAGCTGCTGCTGGGGTGGCACGGAGTGTCTGCGGAGGCCACATTGGGACAAACTAGGTACCTGGTCCCCTCTCCCTTTAATCGGTTATCTGGTTAAACAATTTAATTTTATAGTTTAAATGGTTATCTTATTAAACGATATTTACATCCCTAGTATACACAAACTTCCTATTTATACATTTTTAAAGGCAAGCTTTGCATGGCCCACTTAGAAGGCGACCTACAAATAAGAATACTTTGAATTTCATAGTAATTAGCTGAATACCCCCAAACCCTAAGGTAAAAAAAGGATGAGCAACCAATTTTAAGCTTCCATAACTCCCACCCCAGAGATCAAACTAATAGTACCCGCTGTGCATAATATATATGAATTATACTGTCATCCACCAAAAAAATCACCTGAAACATGAAGCCAGTATAGGAAACAGGGGAGGGAGAATCAGAGAAATGCCATATTGATACAAAAGGGTGTGTATTTTTCAGTTATTTTGTATTTTATTTTTTTAAATTGCTATCTCAATATAAATATGTAGTATGGAGAAAAAGCCATGTACCTGACCCCTATCCAGTCCATTATCAGATGCTGGACTGTGTGTGCCTAATGCACAGAACTTTGGACAGAGTTCAACAAGACTGGATACTGGGAGAATCCAAAAGACGAAAAAAAACCTGTAAAGTAAACATGACGACTGCCTCTTTTTACTTTTTGGGGCACTAAGATCATTCTAAATTTAAAGAAATTTTCTTAGTCCGATTTGTAGACTGTCATTAAAAAGTATTTTACTACTACCAGCAACTTGTCTATCCCTTCTAGAGATACCATTTAAACCCAATATGAATTTCATCCATGTGAAGTGTTATTGAAGAATGGGCCCTAATGTCAAAAGCAACTTCCAGGCACGGTCAACTTTGGGTTGAACTTACCTCTTTGTCCCCAAGAGTTTCAAGTAACAGAAGTAGTATCGTTTTGAAGTGCTCATCCCAAACACCAAAGGACTCTTCTTGAGTCAATTTCATAAGCTCATACAAAGCAGCCTTTCTTTCTTCAACTCTCTCATTATGGTTTGACAATTCCTTCAGTAACTCTGCAACCAGATCAGAATGGTCCATAGGGGGCTCTATTAAAAAGGAATAAATGGACATATTCCTCAAACTGTAGAGGTGATAAAAAGCAACTCCTATCACATAATGCAGAGATAGTTTTAAGGCCTATCAGCCTAGAAATTGTTGTTTATTTTTCTCAGCTCTGTCTGCAAGGACATTTTTACCCTCAAAATAAACACAAATAAATACTGTATTTTCAGTGTGGTCAGCATTCCTGAGAAACAAATGTCTGGCATGATGGCAAAAAACAACTTGCAAATGAACTGACTGCAGCTTGAATCTTCCAGTGACTGAACAGGTGTGTAAAGCTGACTAGACTGGGAATTCCACAGGGCTGCCGCTGCTCAGGCTGCTGTCCCTAGGACAAGTTCTCTGTGTAGGAGAATTTAAAAAATATAGGGGAGGGATACCATAGTGATGAACAAGACTTGAATAACTAGACTGATACTTATACAGATTGGGCAGTCAACCCAAGATGCCAGCAAAACTTCAATAAATCCTGGTCTCCAATGTGAATTCAAATATCAAGTTGTTGTCTTTACTTCGTTACCAAATAGTAAGATATCTCTGGCTTTTGAAAAGGGAACTCTCATGCCTTCTGCCTGTGTCTTGCTGTACAGGCAGAAGATTAAGAACCTCACAGTACTTTTTGAAGGAAAAAAGGTAAAACACATACACAAAAAAATCTCTCTCTCAAATAAACTTCTATTTTACAAGGCATATAATGGAAGGAGTCAAATTTTCGCACATCTGCAAAACATGGCAATTAAACAGAGAGTCTTGTATCTTTCTCTAGGACTATTTCAAGTTGACACTGAACTACAAGTGAAATATTTCTGCAATAAAATTTGTTATGACATCACATACAGATAAATCCCATTAATCAGTCCTTGAGTTTATTATTACGTTATTACTATTTAGTAACAATAAGTCATCTTGGGGAGAAGAAACTAGCAAAAAGTGAATTCATTAGAGCTGTGTAAATTTTCACTACCTCAGTATAATATTTACCATCTACTGAATATTTTAGATCAAAACTTTTTCTGCAATGCATAGAATAGAACTCCACTTGTTCTATTTACCCTCTGTTTTGGATGAAAACCCAAGGACATGGATACATGAAAACAAAAATGTTTATTCAAGTAGTACCTCTCTCCCCTTCGACCATAAATGAGTATGTTAGAGTTTATCTGACTAATAATGCATGCTTTGCAAATTCTCTAAATGGACCATTAATGTTCACCTAAAGGAAACTGTTTTTTGCCTCAACCCTATGATAGTCATTAATTAGTAGAGAGGACTGGAACAGAGAACTTTTACTGAATATGATTATTTTTATTACCAAGGCCAAATTAGTCCTACCACACACACTGAAGATAAGATATCATGATAAATTTTATTATTGGGAACACATATTGACATTATATTAGGGAAACAAGGTATATATTCTGCCCTGACAGGTTAATTCCACAGTATAAATTTAATCAGCATGATATTCTCATCAACATTGCTGACTTCACGCATTCAAAGGTTATTGCATAAGTTCATGTGCTAAGAAATTTAGCAGTTTTTGAAGGACTGACGTATAATACTGCTCTGGGTACCAAACAATTAAATTAAATGCATAGTATGAATTTGTAGCTAATGTGACACTAATTTTTAAAAAAGACTCCAGAGGCTATCATGGCAATTACAGGGCGGTACTCCTAACTTCAGTTCCAGGCAAAATGGTTGAAACTATAATAAAGAACATGGGCGGTGGGTGAAGCTTCCTCTTGGAGAGGCAGTAGCACCCCAGACAGCCTCTTCTGCCTGTGGCCCCACCCATACTCCACCCCTGCTCTGCCCCAGGCCCCACCCCCTCCCCACTGTCTCCCTCATCTTTTCCCTCCCACTCCCCCTCCACGCTCACCCCTGCCGCGTGTGCATCCCCCTTCCAGCCAAATCCCTGAATCCAAGCAAATGAAAAAAATATATATTTGAAAAACAAAAAACAAAAAACCCTCCACTTTTCTGCAATTTCTTTTTAAAGAAAATGGAGCATGTTTTCCACTCTGTGCCAGATGGTGTTTGTGAAGACTGGACACGCAGAAGGTACCTAATTAAAAGCACTAAACTTGGGAATAAAAAATATCAGTCACAGGTTTTTTGATATACCCTGATAGCTGATATGCAGGCAGCCTGCAAAACAGCTTTTTCAAGTGCCCCGACCCCCTCATTGATCCTGGGGAACATATAATGGCAAACAGCAGTTAAAACTAATTGAGAAATCTCTCTCCTTTCTTCACGCAATAAAACAAGGTGTCAGGCCTCACCCTCAGCTGGCATTTACACCCTGACAGGAAGAAAATGGCTGGAATCAGACTGCAAAAGCTGCCACCTCATTTTCATTTCTTCACACAAACAAGCTTGAGCACTTCCTATGTTTATTGTTCCAACAGCAGTAAGCACCTCAGGCAATGAATAAGAACTGCCAAGAGGAGTGGCTGCTGCAGCTGGAGATGAATCCTGGCAGTAAAATAAAGGCTGGCTGCTACTTTAACAACAACAATACCCGCTTAGCTCACAGAACCAAGAAGGCAAAAAGTCCCACTGAGGCAGCATGGGGATGCCAGCTTTACGTACCAGACCAGCAGACCCTATATCCCCAGGGGTGAAGGAACCAAATCCCCAGCCCCATTCTCATGAGAAACTGGCCACCAGGCAAATGTAATCTCCCATCCACTGAAAAGAGTTGAGTCTTATCCTCTCCTCCCCGCCGCCACATTCCTCCTCCCTCTGCCTCCCACTTCCTTCCCTCCATACCCCTCTCCCCACAGGCTTCCGCCACTCAAGTTCTCTCCCACCGCCGAGCGCTCCCCTGGCCCTGCCCATCGCAGAATTTGAACAAGTAAAAAAACCCAATTGCCCTATGCCCATTGCTTACCTGTGGGAACGCTCTGAAGGGCTCTGGCCCAGGTAGAGGGGGATCCATTACTCCTGGCCATTTATTGCTTAGTCTCAGCTGCCCAGTCCTGCTTAGCTGGCACTGGCCCTGGCCCTGAGGACAGGACAGCATAGGGTACCTACTGCCACAAGTAATCCAGCCTTCCCTGCAGCACACTGACTGACTGCACACATAGCATAAGGCTGGCTGGCCTACCTGTGTCTTTGTCTAGCCCTCCCACCTCCTACTTTGTAAAGTGATGATGGGGGCGGGCCCGGCGGGGCCCTGCTCCTAACCCCCTTTGGCAAGTTGCTCCACCATCACCCAGTGGGAGGAGGAGTTGTCCCATAAAGTCCCAAATTTAAATTCTCCTTTGATCCAGGAGGAGTGCCTACTGCATGAATGCTGATCAAAAAGAATAAATGGACACAAATCGGACATCAGGAATGGTAACATACAAAAGCCAGTAGGTGAACCCTTCAATCTTCCTGGACATTCTATAACAGATTTAAAAGTAGCTATACTTGAACAAAAAAAAGTCAGAAACGGACTTCAAAGAGAAACAGCAGAACTAAAATTCATTTGCAAATTTAACACCATTAATTTGGGCTTGAATAGGGACTTCGAGTGGCTGGCTCATTACAAAAGCAGCTTTGCTTCTCCTGAAATTGACACCTCCTCATCTATTATTGGGAGTGGACTACATCCACCCTGATCGAATTGGCCCTGTCAACACTGTCCACTTGTGAAGTAACTCCCTTCCCTTCATGTGTCATTATATAATGCCTGCATCTATAATTTTCACTCCATGCATCTGAAGAAGTGGTGTTTTACCCACAAAAGCTTATGCCCAAATAAAACTGTTAGTCTTTAAGGTGCCACCAGACTCCTTGTTGTTTTTACTGCATGAATGAAGCATAAAGGTTTTGGAATTGTAAAAAACACTTTGCAAAACTGCACTTCTAAGCACTTTCCATCTGATGACCTCAAAGCACCTAACCAAAAACAATGAATTTACACAAACTCCTGTGAGGCAGGCAATTATTATTATTATCCCTGTTTTTCGGATGGAGAAACTGAGGTACAGGTTAATTAAGGCCCCTATCTGCTGTCTTTTTAAATCAATGGAAAGACTCCCCTTGATATCAAGCCTTAAATGATGGGTCCAATGTCACACTGGAAGTCTGTGACGGGGGGACATTAATAAAACCCCAGATCTCCACATTTCTAGGAGTGGGGAGCACAGGCCACTGGCTGCATTGAGGTGGAAGTTCACCCTGAAGTCCCACCTCCCCCAGTATAGGGACTCGGCAGTGAGGCTGCACCTGACCTGACACAATGCAAGGGCTAGACATGTAGATGAACACGATTTGTTGGGGAAGAATCAACACGTCTTTTGTAAAGGGAAATCATACCTCACCAATCTATTAGAATTCTCTGAGATGGTCAACAAACAGGTGGACAAAGGTGATCTAGTGGATATAGTGTACTTGGTCTTTCAGAAAGCCCTTGACAAGGTCCTCACCAGAGGTTCTTAAGCAAAGTAAGCAGTCACAGGATAAGAGGTAAGGTCCTCTCATGGATCAGTAACAGGTTAAAAGTCAGGAAACAAGGAGTAGGAATAAATGGTCAGTTTTCAGAATGGAGAGACGTGAATAGCGGTGTCCCCCAGGGATCTGTACTGGGACCAGTAATGTTCAACATATTCATAGATGAGCTAGAAAAAGGGGTGCAAACAGGGAGTGGCAAAGTTTGTAGCAATACAAAATTACTCAAGATAGTGAAGTTCAAAGCAGACTGCGAAGAGTTAAAAACGGATCTCACAAAACAGGGTGACTGGGCAACAAAACGACAACTGAAACTCAATGTGGGTAAATGCAAAGGAATGCACATTGGAAAACATAATCCCAACTATACATACAAAATGATGGGATCTAAATTAGCTGTTACCTATCAAGAGAGAGATCTTGGAGTCATCGTGGATGGTTCTCTGAAAATATCTGCTCAATGTGCAGCAGCAGTCAAAAAAGCTAACAGAATGTTAGGAACCATTAGGAAAATGATAGATAAGAAGACAGTAAATATCAAAATGCCACTATATAAATCCATGTTACACCCACACCTGGAATACTGCATGCAGTGCTGGTCACCCCATCTCTAAAAAGATATTAGAAACTGAAAAGGTACAGAGAATGGCAACAAAAATTATTAAGGCTAAACTTCCATATGACGAAAGATTAAAAAACGGGACTATTCATTTTGGAAAAGAGACGATTAAGGGGGAAATATGATAGAACTCTACAAAATCATGACTGGTGTGGAGAAAGTGAATAAGGAAGTGTTATTTACCCCTTCACATAACACAAAAACCAGGGATCACCCAATGAAATTAATAGCAGCAGGTTTAAAGCTAACAAACTGAAGTATTTTTTCACAAAATGCACAGTCAACCCGTGGAACTCATTGCCATGGGATGCTGAGAAGACAAAAAGTATAACTGGGTTAAAAAAAGAATTAGATAAGTTCATGGAGGACAGCTAATAGCCATTGATGGGCCTAAGATGGTCCGGGATGCAACCCCCTACTCTGGGTGTCCTTAGGCCTCTGACTACCTGATGCTGGGAGTGGACAACAGGTGATGGATCACTTGATTGCCATGTCCTGTTCATTCTCTCTGAAGCATCTGGCATTGGTCACTGTCGGAAAACAGGATACCGGGCTAGATGGACCATTGGTCTGACCCAGTATGGCCATTCTTATGTTATGCTAAAAAAAAAATCCAGCATGCCTGTCCAATTTTTTGGAATACTAATGTTTGACAGACAGCCTGGAATGATCAGTACAAGTAAAGTCAGTAGTTTCATTCAGTTTACTAAAATCACCAGAAACACCATGTCCTTCGTGATAAAGGATGCTCACACTGTAATATGGTAACACCCTGCTAAATAGAGAGATTTGATTATTTTTACTCGGTGCAGAATTCATATGGCCTGCATATTTCTGTGTCCCCTGTGCAGAAAAATGCAAATCTGCAGGGGGGAGGACACGACATGCGCCTCTTCCCCAGCAGCCCAGGCAGCGTCTGTTCCAGTGTGCCTAGAGCAGCCTCAGAGTTGCAAATCACTGCACGGGGAGAGGGGCTGGGCATGCGTGCCTGTGGGGGAGATGATATCCGTCAGGGGGCAGAGCTGGGCGTGCGTCCCTGCCAACAAGCAAGATAGACTCTGTCCCTCTTGCTCGCTGCTGCAGCTCGCCAGGGGCGTGCAGGGGTAGGTCTTTTTATTATGCAGGAGGAAGGCTCTTTCCCGGAGCCAAAAAAGTAGCAGCCTACCTGCTAGCTAATTGATCTCATTCTCTGAGTCAGAAATGTAGCAGCCCGCCTGCATAGTAACAGTGTTAATGTTCCTATTGGTTAGTTAACTGTTCCCATTCTTAGTCAATTCCCCCAAGAGCATAAAACCTGTAAAAGTTTTAAGGCTCCTACATTGCCACAGTGATGTAAAGCCTTATAAATGACAGTAAGGGAATCAGCTAGGAAGATCTATGTACTTTCTCACATTTTTCCTGTGCCAAAGTGGCACAATGGGGTTAGATTACAGCTCAGGATTTGTTTTACTTACCCATTAAAAAAAAAAAAAAAAAAAAAGTCTTTGAGGACAAATAAAACATTTACCAAGCAGTCAATAAAATATCAGGACAATCAGAAGCAAGCACTTCCCAAAGTACCCAGTCAAGTCCAGGACAATGATTAGCAAAACTGTATGACTTTCATGTGTGAAAGTCTGAGCAATTTAAAATGACATTCTACTTATTTTTTCCCCTCTTTGGTGTCATGTAATTTAAATGAAAATCCAGGATTATAACTTGAATGCAGGGTATTAGTTACCAAGTGTTTGTAAACTTAACTTCCTTGTGTTTAGGAAATGCTGAATAGTTATTGTGACGTTTTCTGTATTGTAGTTTAAATACATTACCAAAATAATTGAAACTGGTGTGATTATATTGCATTATTTTGACAAATAAAATACGTCGAATTTTGAATTTTTTGGTGCAGAATCCCCCCAGGAGTAATGATTACATTACTGCATAATGTTACCAAAATGAAAAGCTAAGAGTTGCAATGATTAACATTTCATTTCTTATGTTTACATATCAGCTATATGTAAAGATGTTAAAACTTCCTAAATAAATAGTAAAACACGAACATTGGCATTTACTCACCCCAACCATAACTTGGTAAAAAGCTATGTCAATAACTAGAAGTGCACTTAGGTTAGATCCAGTAAATATCATATCTTTTTATCTTACATAAAATAATTGAAGACTAACTGACAGTGGCTGTTAATGCTGACAACTAGCTATATAAATGGTGACGTTTCAAGAAAAGCTGAATATAAGTTAACTTTTCAAGTAGAGAATCTCATAAATCTCACTCTGAGTGCAATTACTAAATCTGAATACAAACAATGCCAGAGAGTGTATTGTTTTCTTTCAGGTAGTTCCTATGGCAAACCATTGCTTAATACCAGAACTACAGTTGAGACAGAAGCAAGAAATCCCTTCTCATCAGTCTCTAATAAGAACTGCTCCTTAATGACATAATAAAGATTAGACTATAACTGAATACTCATTTCAAAATATTCACTATCTACTGAAGCAATACAGCAACAATCCCCCCTTCCAGTTTTTCTGCATTGCCATCATATTTTAAAAGGTTTCCTTGAGATTTTCAGTAAGGTGTACAGCATGTACAATTGGGAGTGTCAAGAGGCCAGGGGCCTTTTGCTGGTGTATGCTCTATGTTAAAAAAAAGTGAAAAGTTAAGACTTCATTACAAATCTGTGTATTCAACTTAATATGATATCATTTCATCATGAACAAAATCACTTTTCTATATACTTGAATTTGTTTCTGAGCATGGATAGCAGTATGATTATAAGGTAAAGACCATTAGAATTAGACTTTAAAACCTTTTATAAATGTATTTTTAATTAACACGAGGTACTTATCGAAATGAAAGAGTAATTCAAATAATTTATAATTTTACTTAAGTGCCTCAAGGTCTACTTGGTAGGACAGTAAAGACAGTTTGCCAGACACTAGTACAGGTTCTACAAGCTTCCTTCTCCTTTACTTAAAGAGGAATCTCTCCACTGGTCCACAGTCCACTGTTTTTGCCCATCTACCATTTAGTTGTGCATATTCTAACCTGCAATGGAATACCAAAAGCCACAACTGTTCCCTATCCAGTTGTTAAACCACCATTCCCTCCAATCCAAGCAACTTCAACACACTGAATATCTGGGGGTAATGGAAAATAAATCGAATACAATATCAATATAAATAAATAACACAGAGGATACTATACTGATTGACATGGATGAAAGAGTAGTGATTGAGAGAGGGCTAGGTAGACAAAGCAGTGCTGCATAATCCTGGAGACACTGCTACCTATGGACACACTTCAAACCAAACTCTCAGTAGGGTGCTATCTTAGTGGTCATCATCTTTTTGTTTCAAGAATGTGGGGCCAGATCCTCAGCTGGTCATCAGTGTTTTGCCTCAATTCAGACCAGTTGATAATTGGGAACATAAAGTTCACAATGGAGCTACAGCCAGCACCATATCTATAGAAAATGTTATTATAAGCTACAGAATTAGGGAAGAAAAATGAGCAAGAAAGAATGAGAGAAGGAAACAAATGCAAAATAAAACATTTGGTTATAAACATTACAAGAAAATATACAGAAAAAGATTAAAAGCAGCAAGCTGAATAATCTTTACAAAAGATTATAAAGCAGCAAGCTGAATATCTATGTCGACATGGTCTGAGCACAGCCACCTTTTCAGCACATGCATTTAAAAAAATGTTTCGTCAACACAAAATACCCCCGACTTGTGTTTCAAATAAAAATATTTCACTACCAAAACTCTGTGCTGTTAATCTTTCATCTGTAGCCAAAACTAGTTTTGCCCAGTTTCTTTTTTCATTATGTAATTCACAAAGATCTTTTTTCCCTTGACCAACTGAAAAAAATTAGCTAAAGCAACATAACTACAAATATTTTTTCTTTTTGACTGTCATGCACTAAAATGTACTTACTACAACCTAAGCCCAAATATACAGTATATGCTACAGTTAGCAATTCTCTTATCCCAGTCCCTTACTTTTCCTGTAACTTTGTATTTATGAGGAAGAATATTAATACTGGAGTATTCCATTACATTGGAATTCTGTCTGATAGCTTTTGTAACACTGCTTGCTTTTCACATTACTCAGATAGGATTTGCTATTCAATAAACCTAGTCCAAAAACATGATTTATTGCATCAGCAGTCCGGTTCCTTCAGATACATGTATGTATAGCTAATTTAGCTTAGCCTCTATTTATTACATGAAAACCTTAATGACTACGCAACACATGTAGACAAATCTTACGATTTCCCCACTAACAAAGAATGTAATCTAGAACTTACCTTCAGGAAATTGCTCTGCATCATCATCAAACATAGCTTCTTTCAAAGCAGATTTGTTAAAAGAACTGATACTATCCGAGTAATTGTACGGGTTATAATCTCGTGAACGTGGAGAAGAGTGGGGAGGCATTGTGTTAAGTAATGATGTTTTGTTATCAAGAGCTGTTCGGCCTGTATCAATTGCTCCACCTCCTGCTCTCAGATCCGCTATTCCAGAGCCACTGCAAATCTGCCAGGAAAAAATAAAAACACCCCTCCCCATAAACATATTTAATATCTCACTCACTTTTTAGTTCACTATTCCTCTTAGGTTAACAGTAGCAAATAATAGTCTTGTCTACACAGGAAAGTTAGTGTGCAGCAAGCTACGTGTAAATTTACCGCACTCTAGCTACTCTACACTAATTCCTTTGTGGAGATTCCTATTGTGCACTAAAAGTGCTCTTGGGTGGCTTAGCTTTTAGTATACTTTAAAATCCATTTCTTTAAAGGGTTAAGCTAAAGCGCATGACGGCCCTCTTAGCACACAGTAACAGTGTCCACATGTGGGAGTTGTACAGAGTAGGCAGTGGGCTGTAAATGCACACCCTAAATTGCTGTGTGCTAAGTTCTCATGTAGACAATCCTAAAGACAAGCTACAAAGTTTGCAAGGTTCCATGGGTGCCACAGAATACCAACTAACATCTGAAATTGGGTCATTGTTTCTCAACACTTATGGCTTGTGTAAATGAACACTTAGTTCGCAGCAGGCTGAGTTGTAAATCTACCCTATACTACTGTGCCGTTCACTAAGTGTCCACCTGAACCCTGCTGCCATGCATTGAGCACTGTAGAACAGTGGTTCTCAAACTGTGGTCCGTGGACCACAGGTGGTCCGCGAGCTCCATTCAGGTGGTCCGTGGATAGTTCCCTCTAAGATGCGCGTCTGGATGGCCACACACAAGAGAATGAAGGGAGACCCACCTAATTAGTGGAGCCATGCAGGCATGGCTACATTAATTAGGTGCCTGGTCCCTGGAGAAGATGCACGTTTGGTGAGGTAGTGACCTTGGGGGAATAGGGGGTAGGTGAGAGGGGGCAGTGGTGTGAGAAGAAGGGGTGGGGGAATTTGGGATGTGCAGGGTTGCGGCGGCCAGAGAAAGAGGCGACTTTCTACAGCTCCAGGGCTGCGGCTGCCGGGGAGAGATGGCCCTCCTTCCCAGCCTCAGCTCGGGGGCTGCTGCAGTGGGGGAGAGAGGGAGAGACACCCCCCCCCTTCCCAGCCCCAGCTTGGGGCTGCCATGGCAGGGGAGAGAGGGCACATCCATCGCATTAGAAAGATAAGACTACTGATATTAAAATATGAGTTGTGCACTTTTATTTGTAGAACAAAAAACCATAATAATAATAAAGTTTTTTCTTATATAGCGCTTTTATCCAAAGCTCTTTACAATAATTAGCTAACGGTACAAACAACATTTGGAAAGATCTTTAAGTGGTCTGCCGAGACCCTCAGCAATTTTCAAGTGGTCTGCGAGAAAAAGGTTTGAGAACCACTGCCCTGGGGAACTTTTAGTGCACAAAAGTAGGGTCCAAACAAACCCCTAGTGCACAGCACACTAGATTTAAATGCTACTTTCTGTGAACTAAGTGTTTATTTAGATGAGCCCTCAGAAAGCTTAGCTTTCCTCTCAAATGGTGCGTATGAACATTGCCTAAAAAGGACTTAGGTGTTTGAACTGAACACAAAACAGCAATGTTTTCATAGAGGAAGCTTAAAGTTAGGTATTTAAATCCATATTTAAGCACCTAAATAATTGGCCTGATTTTCTGTTGTGTTGTGATTTTTAGAACCATAGATACCCAAGTTTGAAAGTTTTGCCCACAGCTTTTAGACACTATAAAACATTTGTTTGAACTTGCTCCTTTTGATGGACACACATCAAAAGGTGTCTAGAATTATTTTTACTCAAAGTTTTGCTCTTTGAAAGAGATTTCATGAAGTACATATTTCATTCAAATGATATTATTCGGGGACAGAAATCATACAGTCTCCCTCCAGTACAACAGCAAGAATATAAAGCAGATTGTTTAGTCTGAAACAGGTAACACCAATAAGCAGCTGCAAGTTAAAATTAAAGCCATAGTCCAACAGGCTTTAAAGTGCTGGCATTCTATATAGACTTGATTAGCAGCATGGCTTTTTGTAATTAGAATTTGACATCTCTAACATAAACAGGTTATTTTACTTTAAGACTAGGAATACAATTTTCAAAAGCACCTAAGTGACTTAAGGAGCCTCAGTCCCATTTTCAAAAGGTTGATAGGCATGGATAAGCATTTAAGATCCTAAAGGCCTACGGCACTTTTGAAAATAGTACTTAGGTGCTCTGAAAATTCTACCCTTGATACACAAATCGATTTAAAGAGACAATTCAGCTGTACTTAATCAGCTCCTCACGTTGTCATTCAAACACTCACTGAATCACCATCGTCCTTTTTGGAATCCCGTTTCACAGGCTCATTCATATCTTCCTGACTACGGAAACTGAAGTTCTGAATTGCTTCAGTGACGCCACGAAGAGAACTATAAATATCTTCAGAATTCATGTTTTCCGTGTCATAATCGAATGCACTGTAGATCCAGGGAAACATGGAAGAAGGGGATAAAAAGGTTCAATTTATTTTCTGACTATTATTTTACTGAGGAGTGGGGCCACAGGAGTGGAACCACACTCCTGTGGGAGCTGTGGTGGCTGCCTCTCAATGGCACCCCGCCTTCCTTTGTTAAGGAGACCATCAATGACTGATACTTGGGACTTCAAGTGGTGGAACTGGATGGCCAACAAGGGGTCTACTTATTTAGGAACTGCAGCAGGAGGAGCTTAGGAACAGCAGAAGCAGACTGTTGCTCCACTCTCTACTGCTGAAAGTATTAATGCCTTGAGCTTCTGCACAGTTTCTCTATTAAATATAAAATAAACTATTATAGTGAACTTGCCTACAATTTTAACATTTAAAACTTCCAACTACTAAATCCATCACCATCAAAAACATGACCTATGAAATCCTCTAGACTGGTAGAAATGGCAGTTAAGCTGTAGAGCATTTCATTGGTTACTTCCTTTTACCCTCCAAAATTTTAAGTTGTCTGGAGATTGGTCCTAGTTCAGGGGTAGGCAACCTATGGCACGTATGTCGAAGGCGGCACGCGAGCTGATTTTCAGTGGCACTCACATTGCTCGGATCCTGGGGGGCTCTGCATTTTAATTTAATTTTAAATGAAGCTTCTTAAACATTTTAAAAACCTTTTTTACTTTACATACAACAATAGTTTAGTTATATATTATAGACTTATAGAAAGAGACCTTCTAAAAACATTAAAATGTATTACTGGCACGCAAAACCTTAAATTAGAGTGAATAAATGAAGACTTGGCACATCACTTGTGAAAGGTTGCCGACCCCTGTCCTAGTTAATAGTTTTTAGTAAGTGATTATTCTAAGTATCCAGTGGTTGATTTAACTTGGGTAAAGTTCTTTCTGCACTTTTTGATGGGGTTGGAATTCAGGAGAACACATAAAAAACCCCATAACACCAAGTTATCATGTAAAGTTATAATGTAGCCTTATATTACCTTGGTGACAAAGTATTCTGTGATGTATTAGTTGGGGAAGTGAGAGGACTGGACCAACTGGCTGGTGAACGTGGCGTAGGTCTTGTTAAAGGACTTCCCATTGACCCCTATGAAAAAATGATATTCTAGTAAAAAATAACATTTCCTTTTAAATTGATGTTATATTTAGTTTTTAACACCAGAAAAGTTCTGAGATTAGCTAGCTAGATAAAAACAACAAGGAGTCCATGTGGCACCTTAGAGACTAACAAATTTATTTGGGCATAAGCTTTTGTGGGCTAAAACCCACTTCTCATCAGATGCATGGAGTGGAAAATACAGTAGAGAGGTATAAATACACAGCATATGAAGAGATGGGAGTTGCCTTACCCAATGAGTGTGTGTGTGTGTATGCGGGGGGTGTCAGTGCTAACGAGCCAATTCAATTAAAGTGGAAGTGGGCTAGTCTTAACAGTTGACAAGAAGGGGTGGAAATCACTTTTGTAATTCTAATGAGTTCTAATGAGGCCAATGTAATCATGGTGGCCCATTTCAAACAGTTAACAAGAAGGTGAGAGTATCAGCAGGGGAAAATTAGTTTTTGTAGTGACCCATCCACTCCCAGTCTTTATTCAGGCCTAATTTGATGGTGGCCAGTTTGCAGAACTGGAATTAATTTGCAATTTCTCATGGGAGTCTGTTTTTGAATTTTTTTGTTGAAGAATTGCCACTTTTAAGTCTGTTATTGAGTGTCCAGGGATATATGCCATCATGTGCCAGCAATGCCCCTCTGCCATGTACCTTGGCCAAACTAGACAGTCTCTATGCAAAAGAATAAATGGACACAAATCTGACATCAGGAATTATAACATTAAAAAACCAGTAGGAGAACACTTCAATCTCCCTGGACACTCAATAACAGACCTAAAAGTGGCAATTCTTCAACAAAAAAACTAATTTCCCGCTGCTGATACTCACACCTTCTTGTTAACTGTTTGAAATGGGCTACCTTGAGTACACTGGCTTCATTAGCACTTCAAAAGTGATTTCCACCCCTTCTTCTCAACTGTTGAGAATAACCCACTTCCACCTTAATTGAATTGGTTCGTTAGCATTGACCCCCTACTTGATAAGGCATCTCCCATCTTTTCATATGCTGTATATTTATACCTCTCTACTGTATTTTCCACTCCATGCATCTGATGAAGTGGGTTTTAGCCCACAAAAGCTTATGCCCAAATAAATTTGTTAGCCTCTAAGGTGCCACAAGGATTCCTCGTTGTTTTTGCTGATACAGACTAACACGGCTACCACTCTGAAACCTAGGTAGATATAAGTAATTTCAGAAACTAAAGAAATAGGCATGATATATATTACTGTTTGTGAAAGTTAAGAGCACCAAGAGCTAACATGATCAGTTTACTTAAAAGTAATAATGCTGAGAATTCTCAACTTTTTGAAATATATACACACATCCTCTTTTTAAAATAAGAACATTGTTAACTATAAATTAAGGGAGACTCCTAATTAGAAGCCCCTTGAAAATAAATAAAACCAAACTAAAAATAATAAAAAAACCCAGTTACCTACCTTCACGTAACTGTTCTTCGAGATGTGTTGCTCATGTCCATTCCAAGAAGGTGTGTGCATGCCGCGTGCGCAGTCGTCAGAAGGAGTTTCCCCTAGCAGTATCCATCGGGTTGGCTGTGGAGCTTGCTGGAGTTGCACCTTCAGGCGGTGTATATAGGTCCCTGCTGACCCACCGCCTCTTCAGTTTCTTCGGAGTACTCTGACAGAGGGGCAGGCAGATGCTTCTTGGAACGGACATGACCAACACATCTCAAAGAACAACAGTTAAGAGAAGGTAGCTAACTGTTTTTTCTTCTTCAAGTGCTTGCTCATGTCGATTCCAAGTAGGTGACTCCCAAGCATCTCCTAGGAGGAGGGCTCGGAGCTTAGTGGGTCGCAGACTGCAGCACTGCTCTGACAAATGCGGATTCGTCTCTGGCCTGCTGCGTAATGGCGCAGTGCGATGTAAAGGTGTGGATCGATGACCACATCGCTGCTCTGCAGATATCTTGAACAGGGACTTGTGCCAGGAACACCACTGAGGATGCCTGGCCCCAGTGGAATATGCCATCAGCATGGGGGCAAGTATCTTTGCCAGGTCGTAGCATGCCCTGATGCAGACCATGATCCATTAAGAGATTCTTTGGGACGAGACTGGAAGCCCTTTCATTTGCTTTGCAATCGCAATGAAGAGTTGCGTTGATTTCCCAAATGGCTTAATTCTTTTGATGTAAAAGGCTAACACTTGCCTGACATCCAAGGAGTAGAACATTCGCTCCCAGTTGCTAGCATGCGGCTTAGGAAAGAACACTGGAAGAAATATATCCTGGTTCACGTGGAATTGTGAAACTACCTTTGGGAGAAAAGGTGGGTGGGGCGCAACTGCACCTTGTCCTTACAGAAGACAGTATATGGGGGCTCAGAAGTTAAGGCCTTAAGCTCAGACACCCTCCTGGCTGAAGTTATAGCCACCAAGAACACTACTTTCCAGGAGAGTGAGAGAAGAGATCATGTTGCTAGGGGTTCAAAGGGAGGACCCATGTGTCTTGAGAGTACCAGGTTGAGATCCCATGGGGGGACTGGTTGTCTTGAGGGTACAGTCTATCTAGTCCTTTGAGGAAGCAGCCAATCATAGGGCTAGCGAAAACCGACCGGCCAGCCGAATCAGGATGGAAAACCGAGATAGCGGCCAGGTGCACCTTTACTGATGACACTGACAGGCTCTGCTGTTTCGGATGTTGTAAACAGTCCAGGATAAAGGGAACTGATGACTGTAAAGGTGGAGTGTCCTTTTGTAATGACCAAATAGAGAATCTCTTCAACTTAGCCAAATAAGTGGCTCTTATTGGTTTCCTACTGCCAAAGAACAACCTCCCTAACAAGGTCTGAGAACGTGAGCTCCAAGAGGTTTAGCCATGGAGATAGAGAGATTCTAGATTGGGATGTTGGAGGCGGCTGTGGTCCTGTGTGATCAAGACCGGGACCAGGGGCAAGGTTATGGGCGTGTCCACCGACAGGCTTAGGAGCAGGGTGAACCAGTGTTGACGTGGCCACACTGGTGCTATTAAGATCATTGATGCTCCCTCTCGTCTGACTTTTTGCAGGACCTTGTGTACAAGTGGGAAGGGTGGGAATGCATACAGCAGGTGATCCTTCTAAGAGAGGGGGAAAGCATCCATGAGCGAGCCCAGGCTGTGATTCAGGAAGGAATAGAATTGCTGACACTTCCTGTTGTGCCTTGTTGAGAACAAGTTTATCTGGGGAAACCCCCATCATTGGAAGATGTTGATCACAACATCCGGATGGAGGGACTACTCGTGATTGTGAAAGGACCTGCTGAGATGATCAGCTAGCGCATTCTGAGAGCCCGGAACGTACGATGCCTTTAGATGTATCAAGTGGGCAATGCAGAAGTCCCACAGTTTGAGAGCTTCCTGGAATAGGGGAGAGAAGCGAGCACCACCCTGTCTGTTTATACAGAACATCGCTGTTGTATTGTCGGTCAATACCGATACACATCTGCCCTCCAGATGGGTTTGGAACGTCTGGCAAGCAAGGCGAACCGCTCTTAGGAACCTGACGATGTGCAGCAAAAGTTCTGCCTGGGACCAGAGGCCTTGAGTCCTGAGTCTTCCTAGATGTGCCCCCCCATCCATTGCCAATGCCTCCGTGACTAGAGATAGCAAGGGTCGGAGCCTGGAGAAGGGTACTCCTGCACACACCGCTTGTGGGTTGAACCACCACAGGAGGGACTTGATAACCGGAGGAGGAAGAGTGACTATCGTATGTAGGCGGTCTTGGTTTGGCCTGTATACTGAGGCCAGCCAGGCCTGTATAGTCAGTGTCTCGCACGCTGAGCTACATACGTACAAGCGGCCGTATGGAGCGAGCAGCTTCAGGCAATTTCACACCATAGTAGTGGGGTATCATTGTAAGCCCCCTAATGTCACCCATGGTCAGAAAACGCAATTCCAGAGGGGCTGCTTTGGCTTGACCTGAGTCTAGGAAAGCGCCGATGAACACTATCCTCTGAGTGCGGGTTAGAGTTGACTGTGTCACATTCAGTATCAACCTGAGCCTGTCAAAAGTTGACCGTACCAGGTTCACATGCTCCTCCACCTGAGCTCTGGTGAGGAATGTGATTAGCAAGTCGTCTAGGTATGGGAATACTAGTATCTTCGCCTCCTCAAGAAGGCATCTACGACCAACATGCATTTGGTCAACACCCAAGGGGCCGCCGATAGCCCGAAGGCGAGAACCGTAAACTGATAATGGGTGTTGTTGACCACAAAGTGGAGGAACCGCCTGTGGGACAGGACTATCGCCACATGAAAGTATGTGTCCTTCAAGTTGAGGGTGGCGTACCAGTCCTCCAGATCCAGGGAGGGGATAATGGAAGCCAGAGAGACCATGCAGAACTTCAACTTTTTCATGAATCTGTTAAGGTTTCGCAGGTCTAGAATAGGCCTGAGCCTGCCCTTGGACTTCGGGATTAGGAAATATTGGGAATAAAACCCCTTGCCCCAGAACTCCTGAGGGACCTCCTCTACTGTTCCAGCTTCTAGGAGTGTTTGTAACTCCTGTATGAGAAGTTGCTCGTGAGAAGGGTCCCTGAAGAGGGATGGGAGGGATGGAACAGAATTTGAGAAAATATCCCAATTCGACCATGAATAAGACACATTGATCCAAGGTGATCCAGACCCAGGCATGGTAGAAATGGGATAGACAGTTCACGAAATGGAGGAAAGGATCTGGGATTTTACCTGGTGCATCACCCCCAGGGGCACCTTCAAAAGTTTTGCTTGGGGCCAGAAGACTGCCTCACCAAGCCCTGGCTCTGGGTGGACGAGGGCTGAGGTGGCCTCCTCCTACTATTTTTGCCCTGTTTCCTGTTGTAATCCTGTCTAGGATGAGTAGGGCAGAAGCATGGGGGAGGCGGAGGTTTGAAATGCTTCCTTTGTGGGGCTGGTATATGGAGTCTGAGAGATTTTAATGTCGCTTGCGAGTCTTTGAGACTGTGGAGCTTAGAGTCCGTTTGCTCCAAGAACACCCCTGATCCATCGAAGGGCAAGTCCTGAATTGTTTGTTGGACTTCATGCCCGAAGCCTGCAGCCATGAGCTCTTTCGCATGGCTATACTGGTCAACATCGTGCGGGTTGCCGAGTCCGCTGAGTCAAGTGTAGCTTAAAATGAGGTCCATGCTATAACCTTGCCCTCTTTGATGATGGCCCTAAACTCTGACTGGGATTCAGCTGGAAGCAACGCTTTAAACTTAGTCAGAGTATTCCAAGAATTGAAATTGTAGAGGCTGAGGACCGCCTGCTAGTTGGCAATCCGAAGCTAAAGCCCTCTGTTAGAGTACACCTTTCGGCCAAAGAGGTCCACCTTTTTGCCTCCTTAGATTTTTGGGTCCGACATGGGCTGTGCCGGCTGAGGATGGAGAGCTGACTCTATGAGGAGTAGTTTTAACCTAAAGTCTCTCTTTTTTTTGGTTCTTGGGCGGAACCTTGGCAGGTCTTGTACCTGTACGTCTGGTGGGCCTCCCCCAAGCACTTTAAGCAAGAATCGTGGGGGGTCACCCCTTGGCATAGGCTTCTGGCAGGACCCGCACAGCTTCTGGCATGCCCCAGTCCCCAGGAGAAGAACGCAGTGGGGGAAACCCCAACAGAAACATATCTAACCATAAAAACTACTTGAAACACCAATTAACACTAAGTTACCTATTTACAGGTACAAAGAGAAAGACCACTAGGGGATCGAGAAGAAAGCAGCTCCAGTGACTGTCATGGGTGGTAAGAAGGAACTGAAGAGACGGCGGGTTGGCAGGGACCTATATACACCACGATGAAGGCATGACTCCAGGGGGCTCCACAGCTGACCAACGAGTATGGCTAGGGGAAAGCCTTTCAATGACTGTGCACGCAGTGCGCGCACACCAACTTGGAATTGACATGAGCAAGTCCTCAAAGAAGAACAACCTATATTAAGATGAAGATGAAAGTAATTATCAGTAACTTCAGAGCAAAAGAATAAGTGTAAATACCTGACCACCATTGCCCGTATTCCGGAGATGGTTGTGGAGAAGCTTTGTTGCTCCATCCTGAAATGTTTTTGGTAAAGCACCCAGTAACATTGTGAACTCTGGGGTATTTAGTTCAAATAGGGCAATCAGCACTGACTGTGCAGCCTAGAGCAAAGAAAATTAATGAAAACTATATGTGAATTTTTGTTTTAAAAATGTTAGATATTGAAAACGGCTTTATTTTACCAGTAAGGATTCCAGAGAAAGGAGTAATCAAAAAAGATAGCAGAAATGCAATGCTGATTACCTATTTTAATTATATAAAAACTTCAAGAATAAAGGTATCGGCAGACATGATTAAAAAACAAACAATGGACATTTGCTGGTCACACACTGATGACCCTGGTTAGGAATCCTCACCCTTTTATTTCCCATGATCCTCCTAGCAACAAGTTATTTTGAGATATTCTCCCAGAGTGCTTTGTGCTAATAACAACAGACAAATAAAATGACAAAGAAAATGGCATGACGACTTAAGTGATTTTGGCATTAAAACAGAATCGTTTCCAAATGACAGAAGACTCATATTTAGCAGAATACCTCAGACATGATGGGAGCTGACTTGCTACACCTGCCTCTTCCCCAGAAACTTTCTGGTGAGCTCTCAGGTAGGTTGGGACCCACAAGTTTATCAACTGAGAATCCTTATTTTTTATTTTAAAATTTAGCAAATAGATTTGTTAAGCTGGAGAACAGTAGGCATAATTCTGCGGTCTGATCATAGGTCTTTAACTTATACCAACTCCCCCAAGATCACATGGGGAGTCATTTAACCTCTTTCTTCTTCAGTTTCCCTTATCTATAAAATATGAACAATAACCTTGTGAGGTAAATGTCTTAAGAATTAATTTAGCAGATTGCAAAACACTTTGAAGATGAAAAGTAAAATTTGAAGTATTAATATTAGAGCTTCTGGCTTGCTGCATAATTTTTCTGATGTTAAGTTTTTATTTGTTAGACAATTTATAGATCCTCCCCGCCTTTATGGGGTAAATACTTGTTTTTAAACTGGTGTTTTAAAATTGTTTTCCTTGACTTGTATCAAAAGCACAGCTCTTTAATGACAGTAGAATGTAATTAGTTATGCAGTGTATTTGTTAGCTAACTTTTTTAGCTGATTTAGTATCATTTACACAATTTAGTCAGTGAGAGGCCAAAAGGTTTGTCAGTGTGGCAAGAGACCAGTCACGTATCAATGAAAGACAGGATATTGTTGAATTACACAGACTTATTTAATACTTTCATTCTGGAATGAAACTGATTCCAGATTAACCACTTATATCTAGCAGCTCACCAACAAGGTCTGCCGTGCACTGGACAGAACCAGTGTCTAATGCTTGAAAAAATGATAGACCACTTGCTTAAGTACCAAAATATTTAAACAAGTAATTTAGAAAATTCTTTCAGATATTTATTTCTCTCTTTTTCTCTCCAGAGTAACAAACTGTAGCAACTTTAAATTAAGTGGAAAGCTAACACTGAAAACATACATCAGCACATATTAATGTTTGTGTTTAAATGTAATTAAGTAAAATATTAAAATGTTAAACATAAATTTGCTGTGAACAACTGTTCTTCACTGGTGAGTGGCTACAAGTTGAAACCTCTTTCTCCTTTCTGTCCTAGTCTCTTCACTTCAATGCAATTTGAGTTAATAAAAACCAAAGGGAAATTGACAGATTCATCAACTCCTAACTGGTTAAACTTACAAATACAGGGCTAGAAGTGATTAATTGATCTCTTTGCCAGTTGAGACATAAATCCCCCCAGAACGCTAAAGTTCCCAGATTGTACCTGTAGCTAAGCTTATATGTAACCTTGTGTTATTACTGTCACTCTTACCTTCTCTCTCTTCTCTGTTGTATTTTAAGCCCTTATCCCGAGGCATCATTCAAAATGATTTAGAATTTAAGCTTTCTGGGGTAGAACTGTATTTTATACTTGTACAGAGCCCATCACAATAAGGCTCAAATCCTGGCATCTCGAGGTATTGCGGCTTCTAATTATGCACATTTTATTTGGAAACTGTAGACGATTTTGAGAAGTAGCATGTGTCAACATGTTCCTATAATTGGGGGTCAAATTGGGAAATAAAAATGGGATTCCCAAGGTCTGCCCACAAATGAAGTTTTATTTTGGTGTCTCAGGTGGCGCTACATTCACAGCAGATTTTCATAATGTGATTGTCTATTTTTTTTCTTACATGCTTTGACCACCAAACAAACAGTTATCAATTTTGATGTTTAATTCGTCATTATTTTGCTTCATAGTAAACTATGCCTTTAAATGATTTGGGCTAATTCACAACCCTCTCGCAACTATTGTTTCAGGCTGGCTGTAGATTGATGCACATATCATTATTTTGGTTTACATACTGTTTTGCATTAGTTTGTGGCTAGTAGATGTCTGACATTTTCAAACATGAGAAGTCAGAACAGAGAAATACTGTAGGAAGATTCTGCAGGGAGAAGCAGAAGAAAAGTGGTGAAAGAAAAATACTGACGAGGAGGTAAAGAACACAGTATAGATAAGGGAGAGAGACCATTGCGGAGGAAAAAAAGTAAACAATAAAGATAACTCAAGATTAGAGACAGTATGATCTATTATAATAAGAAAAAGCGAAGTTTAACCAGGAAGGGAAATAAAACAGGAATCAAAACAAGTGTGATGAAAAAAGTAGGCTTGCTGAACAATACTTGGAGATTACATTACAGTAACTCCTTGCTTAACGGTGTAGTTATGTTCCTGAAAAATGCGACTTTAAGTGAAACAATGTTAAGCGAATCCAGTTTCCCCATAAGAATTAATGTAAATGGGGAGGGGGGTGTTAGGTTCCAGGGAAGTTTTTTTCCCCACCAGACAAAAAACTATAATGTATAAACACACACACAGTATACATTTTGAACAAACAATTTAATACTGTATACAGCAATGATGATTGTGAAGCTTGGTTGAGGTGGTGAAGGAGGAGGGTGGGATATTTCCCAGGGAATGCCTTACTGCTAAATGATGAACTAGCATTCGGCTCAGCCCTCAAGGGTTAACGTTGCCTCACACTCTACAAGGCAGCACAAATGGAGGGAGGGGAGACAGCCTGGCAGACAGAGAGACACACCCTGTGTGTCGGGGAGAGAGAGAGAGAGAGAGAGATGTGCATTGCCCTTTTAAGTATGCTGACACCACACTCTAAGTACATTGCCTTTAAAAAGATCAGGAAATTGAGATAGCAGCTGCGGCCACCTCTCTCTGTCCTGAGCCCTGTTGTGTCTCCCCCCTGCTCTATATGGAGAAGGGGTAAGCGGAAGGGGAGGGGAGACAGAAGTTGGGAGGGGAACACCCTGACATTAGTCCCCTTCTTCCCCCCTCCCCTGTACAGCAAGCAGGAGGCTCCCGGGAGCATCTCCAAGGCAGAGGGCAGGAGCAGCACTTGGGGGGGGGGGGGAGGGGGGAGGGAAGAGGAGGGGGACAACTGAACTGCCGGCAATTGGTAGCCTGCTGGGCAGCTGCTGCACAGGGACTCTAGGGGAGAGGAGAGCCGATGGGGGGCTGTCGCAGTAGCGTAGCTAAGGGGGGGAGCGGCCGCTCCCCCACTGAGCACAAGTGGCGCCTTGTCAATTTCCTGGAGCCTTTGTACTCACCCGGGGGAGCGATAAAGAAAAAAGACGGCACCCGCTGCAGCGCTTTGTTTTTACTCACCCGGCGGCGCTCCGGGTCTTTGGCAGCATTTCGGCAGCGGGACCTTCAGTGCCGCCGAAGACCCTGGAGCGAGTGAAGGGCCCGCCGCCGAAGACCCAGAGTGCCGCCGGGTGAGTAAAAGCACCGCAGCTGGTGGCGCCTTTTTTTTTTATTGCTCCCCGTTCCCTCCACCTGGCTACGCCACTGGGCTGCCGGTCCACCCTGGTTCCAAGCCCCCACCAGCTAGTTGCAACGGGCTGCTCTTCCTGCAAGCAGTGGACAAAGCAGGCGGCTGCCAAACAACGTTATAAGGGAGCATTGCGCAACTTTAAACGAGCATGTTCCCTAATGGATCAGCAACGTAACAACGATACAACATTAACCGGGACGACTTTAAGTGAGGAGTTACTGTACTGTATTTGCATTTCACTGGTATTTGCCAAATAATTTATTTGACAAATATACTGTGTGTCAAACTACTCTTGCAAATATAGTCTTTGAAAAATACTAGTGAAACTTGCCAAATATAACAGAGGGTCCTGTGGCACCTTTAAGACTAACAGAAGTATTGGAGCATAAGCTTTCGTGGGTGAACGCCCACTTCATCAGACACAAGTAATGGAAATTTCCAGAGGCAGGTATAAATCAGTATGGAGATAACGAGGTTAGTTCAATCAGGGAGGGTGAGGTGCTCTGCTAGCAGTTGAGGTGTCAACACCAAGGGAGGAGAAACTGCTTCTGTAGTTGGATAGCCATTCACAGTCTTTGTTTAATCCTGATCTGATGGTGTCAAATTTGCAAATGAACTGGAGCTCAGCAGTTTCTCTTTGGAGTCTGGTCCTGAAATTTTTTTGTTGTAAGATGGCTACCTTTACATCTGCTATTGTGTAGCCAGGGAGGTTGAAGTGTTCTCCTACAGGTTTTTGTATATTGCCATTCCTGATATCTGACTTGTGTCTATTTATCCTCTTGCGTAGTGACTGTCCAGTTTGGCCAATGTACATAGCAGAGGGGCATTGCTGGCACATGATGGCATATATAACATTGGTGGACGTGCAGGTGAATGAGCCGGTGATGATGTAGCTGATCTGGTTAGGTCCTGTGATGGTGTTGCTGGTGTAGATATGTGGGCAGAGTTGGCATCGAGGTTTGTTGCATGGGTTGGTTCCTGAGTTAGAGTTGTTATGGTGCGGTGCGTGCTTGCTGGTGAGAATATGCTTAAGGTTGGCGGGTTGTCTGTGGGCGAGGACTGGCCTGCCTCCCAAGGTCTGTGAAAGCGAGGGATCATTGTCCAGGATGGGTTGTAGATCACTGATGATGCGTTGGAGAGGTTTAAGCTGAGGACTGTAGGTGATGGCCAGTGGAGTTCTGTTGGTTTCTTTTTTTGAGCCTGTCTTGTAGCAGAAGGCTTCTGGGTACACATCTGGCTCTGTTGATTTTGTTTCTTTATTTCCTTGTGTGGGTATCGTAGTTTTGAGAATGCTTGGTGAAGATCTTGTAGGTGTTGGAGCAGATGCGGTTCTACCTCAGCGCTTGGCTGTAGACGATGGATCGTGTGGTGTGTCCGGGGTGGAAGCTGGAGGCATGAAGGTAGGCGTAGCGGTCGGTGGGTTTTCGGTATAGGGTGGTGTTAACGTGGCCATCGCTTATTTGTACTGTGGTGTCTAGGAAGTGGACCTCCCGTGTAGATTGGTCCAGGCTGAGGTTGATGGTGGGGTGGAAGCTGTTGAAATCATGGTGGAATTCTTCCAGGGTCTTCTTCCCATGAGTCCAGATGATGATGATGTGCCAACTCTGCCCACATATCTACACCAGCAACACCGTCACAGGACCTAACCAGATCAGCTACATCATCACCGGCTCATTCACCTGCACGTCCACCAATGTTATATATGCCATCATGTGCCAGCAATGCCCCTCTGCTATGTACATTGGCCAAACTGGACAGTCACTACGCAAGAGGATAAATGGACACAAGTCAGATATCAGGAATGGCAATATACAAAAACCTGTAGGAGAACACTTCAACCTCCCTGGCTACACAATAGCAGATGTAAAGGTAGCCATCTTACAACAAAAAAATTTCAGGACCAGACTCCAAAGAGAAACTGCTGAGCTCCAGTTCATTTGCAAATTTGACACCATCAGATCAGGATTAAACAAAGACTGTGAATGGCTATCCAACTACAGAAGCAGTTTCTCCTCCCTTGGTGTTGACACCTCAACTGCTAGCAGAGCACCTCACCCTCCCTGATTGAACTAACCTCGTTATCTCCATACTGATTTATACCTGCCTCTGGAAATTTCCATTACTTGTGTCTGATGAAGTGGGCATTCACCCACGAAAGCTTATGCTCCAATACTTCTGTTAGTCTTAAAGGTGCCACAGGACCCTCTGTTGCTTTTTACAGATTCAGACTAACACGGCTACCCCTCTGATACTTGCCAAATATAGTGTTTAAATATCTTTTTCTACCATTTTATTCCTTCCAAAATGTGTTAGCATTAAATGTAATAATTCTGGATATTCTTGTTATCCATATAAATGCCCAAGTCATAGAATCATAGAAGATTAGGGGTGAAAGAGACCTCAGGAGGTCATCTAGTCCAACCCCCTGCTCAAAGCGGGACCAACCCCAACTAAATCATCCCAGCCAGGGCTTTGTCAAGTCAGGCCTTAAAAATCATTAAGGATAGAGATGCCACCACCTCCCTCGGTAATCCATTCCAGTGCTTCACCACCCTTCTAGTGAAATAGTTTTTCTTAATATCCAACCTAGACCTCCCACACTGCAACTTGAGACCATTGCTCCTTGTTCTGTTCTCTGCCACCACTGAGAACAGCCTAGCTCCATCCTCTTTGGAACCCCCCTTCAGGTAGTTGAAGGCTGCTATCAAATCCCCCCTCACTCTTCTCTTCTGCAGACTAATAAGCCCAATTCCCTCAGCCTCTCCTCATAAGTCATGTGTCCCAGCCCCCTAATTATTTCCCTTGCTCTCCGCTGGACTCTCTCCAATTTGTCCACATCCTTTCTGTAGAGGGGGGCCCAAATCTGGACGCAGTACTCCAGATGTGGCCTCACCAGTGCCGAATAGAGGGGAATAATCACTTCCCTCAATCTGCTGGCAATGCTCCTACTAATGCAGCCCAATATGCCGTTAGCATTCTTGGCAACAAGGGCACACTACTGACTCATATCCAGCTTCTCGTCCACTGTAATCCCCAGGTCCTTTTTTGCAGAACTTCTGCTTAGCCAATCGGTCCCCAGCCTGCAGCAGCGCATAGGATAGTTCCGTCTTAAGTGCAGGACCCTGCACTTGTCCGTGTTGAACCGCATCAGATTTCTTTTGGTCCAATCCTCCAATTTGTCTAGGTCACTCTGGACCCTATCCCTACCCACAAGCATATCTACCTCTCCCCGCAGTTTAGTGTCATACTCGAACTTGCTGAGGGTGCAATCCATCCCATCATCCAGATCATTAATGAAGATGCTGAACAAAACTGGCCCCAGGACCGACCCTTGGGGCACTCCGCTTGATACCTGCTGCCAACTTAGACATCGAGCCGTTGATCACTACCTGTTGAGCATGATGATCTAGCCAGCTTTCTATCCACATTATAGTCCATTCATCCAATGCATACTTTTTAAACTCTTTGAATCTCTCTAAGATCTGGCCTCAACAACATCTTGTGGCAATGAGTATTACTGTCTTATTACATGCTGAATGAAAAAGCATTTACTTTTAGCATTTTTTTAATTTAGTACTTTTTAGTTTAATTTAATGTCCTCTTATTCTTGTGTTAAGAGACAGAGGGCAGAAGCTCCCAATCTACTTTCTCTATGCCATTTCTTATTATACGTTACACAAAAAAAACTATGTTAAAAGAACATCAGCGTTACAAAGTCAAGGTCTCTTGAAAGTGTATATAAATAAGAAAGTTGACTGACAATCTATTACAATTAAACAAAGGACAAAAACAACTTTTATTTCTTTTAAATTACAGGGGGTATGGTAGCGTAAGTATTTTTCACATGCTTAGTACGTTTCATTCCTTGGACTCATAGGTTTGGGTTAAGTTTTCAAACCGATTATTATTTATTATTAGTGTTCCTTAACGGGCTCTAGCTAGTGTTATAGCGTAACTAAGTTACAGGAGAATAAATTTCTGAAAATGTTTGAAAAAAATATTTAAAACTGTAACAGACACAAAAAGGGTTCACATGTAGTTCATTTAAAAACAACTGCTCGATATCAGCATATATCATACATAATTAGAAAATGATTCAAATACCTCAACTTTTACTAAAAAGATTCCCTCCCCTTTTATAAAGTTAGTTTAAAAAAAAAAAAACGGTGTGTGTGTGATAAGCAACTTCAATGAAGTCTTAATGGTTAAAAAAATATTGGGCTTGTCTGGAGAACACCTGCTTGACCAACTTTTTGCCATATACTGCTATACATTTTGATGACTGAGTAGATTGATGAGATCCTCCTCACTATTTTAATGAGCAGTTTAATTCAGCTGATTATCCAGTAAGTAGCAGCATTTTGTTAGACTCCCTCACATCCTTCGTTTTCAATATCGCCTCGTTCTCAGTAGCTTAAAGGACTAGGAGTTTCAGCATGATCTGGGAGGACAAGGAACGCTAAGAAAAGGGATCTGAAGAAGAGTCTGGTCAGGGCTGGTGCAACAGGCAAAGTATATGATTTTGGGAGCAGTGTTTTGGATGGATTGATGGACAATAAGGCTAGAGTTAGGCAAGTAGGGATAGCTCAGTTGAGTTGATAAAGCCTTGGACAAGAATCAACAATGGGAATAGCAAAGAATAATAGACTTTTTTGAGCAGTTGAGAAAAAACAGGATTCAACAGTTACTGTAAGTGGAAAGGGGGGGAGAAGTGGAGAGAATGATTGAAAGAGGACACCAAAATTAAGAACATAATTGAATATCAAACTTATACATTAATACAACAATACTTGCCTTTTAAAAAAAGTTACTTTCCATTTTCTTGCTAAATGATGATCCAGTTCACAGAGAAACACACTAAGTTTCTTAAAGTTCAGCATCAATTATTGTTTGCACACAACGAATGAAGTTTCTTTTTACAGACTTTGTGAAATCTGCTCTTTTTGTAAATTTGTATACTTTTACACACTTATGTTAGAAAAATGATACTAAGATAGTCAGCGCCAGAGGGATAAGGATGATGGTGGAGTTGCTAATGGGAATAGAAAAGGGCAGGTTTAGGAGAAATTATTTTAATGTAGGTTAGTAATAGATCCGCCATGAAGAAAAAGCTAGAGAGAGCAGAGGCAGATCTACAAATGATCAGCAAAGAAGAGATAATTGTAATCATGTGATTAGATTATGTCTTCCCAGCAAAAGACAAAAAAAGAGAGAGAGAGGTGACAAGTTCTAAGGGAGAGAGAAGCTGTCAAAGGAGTGGTCAGAGAAGTCTCTAAAGCCTGGTGGTGGGAAGTTGGCATAAAATCTCAAGAAGAAAGGGGTGACCCCAAAAGATAAACAACACAGAATAATCTGTTAGTGAAAACCAAATCTCTTCTTTTTAATCAATTTTTTACTGGGAAACATAACCCCCTCTCACTTCCTGCAAAAAAAATCTCTGTAGAATGTGTATTTTAGTTTTACACAGCAAATGTTACCAACAGTAGCTTCTGTATGAAGAGTTCTTTGATGCCAAAGTAGTAGTTTTATTAAAATGTCAGCTTCCTATTGTCACCAACTCAACAATTACTCCTTAAATCTTTTTGTCAAATACAAAGAATGTGCAAAACCAGATGCAAACATCCAACCAGATGAACTATAATTTTAGTTTCTTACTCACCCCTCCTGTGATCAATGTATTATTACTGAGACAGAAGGTGGCCCTTGTTGGAGTAATATTAGTTAAAGCTGTTTAGAGAAGGCCACTTAAGTAAATTTAACTGTCATACAAAGTATTTTAAACAATAGTATTCCTTTTACCATAAGATAGGTTCATCCCAACCAGCTAAAATATAACTTGCACTGTCTAGAGCTTTAAATTGTATTAGTTATAACTTTTAAGTTCAAATATTTTAAAAAACACAGCTTTATCTTAGTCTAGACAAGGCTTTATTTTATCTATTTTGACACTGCATGCTTTAATTTAATGTGTGTATTGTGAAATGGAGTAGGTTCTCCATACCCTTAAAGAACGAACCTACAGAGAAATTTTTGTAGGACTCTTTTGTTGGAAAAATTGTCTTAAATTACAAAACCCTAAGACTTTTTTTATTAAAGCATTAGTTAGGAATATGGTAACAACCCACATACAAATACTTCCTAACCCTGACAGGACAATCAGAATAAGTTTCAGCTTTAAAAACTACTGAAGAAAATCCCTGAAAGACTAACTACATATTTTAGCATGAATGGACATACCTTCCTAACATCTGAACTTTTCGGTTCTGTTGTCCAGGTGATGATCCGAGATACCGCCAGCCTAGTTTCACTTGAATTTACGAAATCCCCTGGGTCCATCTGCTGTGCAAGAGTCTCTATGTATTTAAGAATTGCAACTTTAACCTGCAAAGGTAAGCAGAGTCAGGTAAATAGATAAAAACAAAAGTGTGCTGTAAATGTGAGTGTACTCAAGAAACAGGGTTCTATTTATTTAGAACAAATAATCCAGAATGGCTAATATAATGGGACAAAATGAGATACCTTTTTAAAGTGAATTAAATATTGGCAATTTTATCAGAAGTCTTTTAGCTGATTTTAAAATCAATTACCTGGAGTCAATGTTTTTGTTTAATATTCATATAGTATCTATAATCTGTAAATGAGTCTACTGTACTAACAGACATCTTAATTCTCACTAACATTAAATAAAAAAACTAGCATACTGCATGTGCAACTATTTAGCCATTTAGTTTGCTTATATTTGGCATAGGGAGCACCACCTGATGAATTGGAGAGGATACATACAGATGTAATTGGCTTCTTCCAGTAAACTGTACATAATTTGTACTCAGAATCCCCTGGCAGTCCCTTTAGCAGCAGAAATCTATGCTGAGCATTAAACATCTTTGTTAAGGGATAAATTTTGTAAAACATCTTCCTATTAAAAACAAACCATAAGGGGAATAGAGCTGTTACAATAAAGCAGTGCCAGTGAGTAAGCAATAATACACATGGCAATCAGTACACACACTTTTCTTTGAAGGAATTCATTACATTAATGAATGTCAGTGTGTTTATGAATAGACATAAATGAGACAAGGAAATGGGGTGGGTGATTATTTGGATGATCTGGTTTAACTCTTTAGCTGTTTCTGTCTCCATTAACTATGGTACTAGATCTGAGATTATGCACAATAAAATCGGAGAGATTTTTTTTTAAATGTGTTTGTGGCTTGCACTGATAACTGTTCTGAATAAACATGGATCATTTAAAAGCTTCCCTCAGTCATCCTAATATTTCAGATATATAAAAAATAAAGTGTGTCAATGCACTGAGTGACAAAGATGTTAGTGGCAGGCAATGAAACTAGATGTAATTTAACCATATTAATTCTTTCCCCCTCATGCTGGCTGTTAGGTCTTGCCTTCTCTGAAGTTACATGTAACCCAAGGATTGAAGCTCTTTGTGATGCATAAGTCAATGGAAAATACTGTTGAGAGCCTGGCAGCTAGAAGTTTCTCTTTTTGAGATCAAAATCTTAAAACTACTTATATTTTGCAAAATGTGTATTTCAAAACACATACTAAAAACAAAACTTCTTCTTTCTAAGTCAATCAAGTATAATTGTGCGCATATACTATTTTTCCTCCCCCACAAGGGCCCTTTTGTGTCATTTTTGTAACATCGCTGTGTCCATCTGCTAATGATATCTTAAATGTATATTGTGATATAGGAGGGCCAGGGAGCAGTGGTAGAGTGCTCGAGGGGAAATATATAAACCCAAGGCTAATTAAGGCGTGATTCCCTGGAGACTAGGGAGGATGGCTACAGATTAATTGGAGCACCTGCAGTCAATTAAGGCCCTGTCAGGAACCTAATAAAACCCCCTGCTTCAGGAAGTCAGAAGGAGGAGGAAGGAGAGAGGTCTGGAGCTTGGAGGTGTGCTGTGAGACTTGAAAGGTCAGAGAACCGAAGTAAGGGAGACCCTGCCCCAGCAGGGAATGGAGACTCCCTCCCCCAGCATCTAGGGACCGAAGGTACCCCACCCAAGGGGGAAGAGGGTAAGAACCCGCAGGGATTGAGAGGCGCTGGGGCTCAGAGTGAGAAGAAAACCCAGACCCCTCCCCCTCTTCCCTCCTTTACCACCTTCCCAGGCCACTAGCGGGGCCCTCGGTGCCCCAAAAGCAGGGGCAAGGGGTGGTATCTTAGCCCCCACCAAGAAAAGCGCAGGACCCACCATACTAACACTGGCCATCTTGTCACAACATATACCTTTACAACCAGATGCTGCAATCAGAAACCAATGATAACATGGTGCAAAAAGGCACCCAGCTATCTATACACAAAAATTCCTAAGAACAAGATATAAGGTTTACTCAACAGTTAAAAATTGTGAAGAAAAGCATTCCCAATGGAAGTAGAGTCAAACTGTCTACAGACAGGGAGGAGTACTGAATAGCAGGTGAGTAGAAGTAGGAACCATCTAAAAGGCAGCTTGTGATCTCAGTTCCATTATGAACAATAAGAGATGGCAGTCATTTTGAAAAAGGTTAGTTCTTCATGTTTTTTTTTTTTGAAAGAGAACATTATTCTTCGGTGTCTGTGGAAACTTCTATGTTGAAGAACAAGAAAAGATGACCATTAGAGATAAGTTACTTACCTTGTACAGTAACTGGAGTGTTCGAGATGTCTGTCTCAATGGGTGCTCCACTTCAGCGAGGCATGCTCCCTACGAGCCTTTGACAGGGGACTTTTGGTACTGCCAATTCAGTCTGCACATGAGCCGTAGCTAACCTCGTGCCCTCTATTGAGGGTATATAGGGCAGTGTCAGACGAGCTACCATCAGTTCCGTCTCTACCACAAAGTCCCGCAAAAGCAAAGACTCCAAAGCAGAGGGGAAAGATGACGGTTAGTTGAGGACAAAAGACCAACATCTTGAACAACTCCAGTTACTGTATAAGGTAAGTAACTTTTTCTTTGAGTAATGTTCCTATGGGTGCTCCACTGATTTACTGATTGTATTTCAATTGTAATCTTGAGCTGTATAGGAAGTAAATTAGTTAGTGACATATCACTTATTTATATTTGTTTTCTTATTCTTGTAATAAATCTGTAACAGCATACTAGAATGGTTCCTCTCTCAAAACTTCAATGTGGGAAAACAACTTATTTAGAGGTAAAGGTAAATGCATTGAGTAGCTCCTGGTCATGTATTTTATTTATTTGATTAAAATCCTGTTCAAACTACTACATAAGCATGATGCATTTGCCAAAATGGTCCTACATGACTTATCACTGTCCCAGATCAGGTAATATTTGCTAAAAACCTTCACTTCTTCCTTCGAGACATGGATCTGGCCAGTATTTTTCATGTATCTGTCACCTTCAAACTGTATTCCTTTAATTCATTGTATGTGAAGCTGAATGTGAAAACAATGCAAAGATGCTAGCTGGTGCAAAACCTGGCTGTCTGCCTCCTACATGGACTAGGTCTGCAGAAGCACATCATTCCTGTTTTCTGGGTCCCCCACTGGCTCCCAGTCTACCTCTGAGGCCAGTTCAAGGCCCTGCTTCCAATTTTCAAAGCCATTAATGGGTCATGTCCCAGCTTCACTAGCAACCATATAGCTATCTATGAACCATGGAGACAGCTGTGCTCTTTTCGACAAAACACAGAACACAAAGTCCAGGACACAGTGTGTGTGAGCCAGAGTCAAGGCACTCTTGGCTGAGGGAGATATGTCTGTAAAACAATTTCCAGAAGAGATGAGCAATCCAGAATCTGATCACTATTAGGTCATGCTAAAAGACTTTCCTCTTTGATATAGTTATGCCATCATAACAAGAATGATATTTCCAACAAACTCCATTCCCTCTCACCAGTACATAACCATCCCTTCAGGAAGAGTTTCTGAAAACCACAGAAGGGGAAGAGCTGGACTTCATCAAGTTCAAAAGGAATCTTGCTATGCCAATCCAATTAACCCTGGGAAGTACTATGGGGATGGGTACCAGTACAAAATACTAACACAGGTAGGTAGAGTCCTTAACACTACTACTATATTACATTTTTGATTACTTCTAATAAATATATTCTCTGGCTCTTCAGTGATAGTAGTAAGCTTTAGGAAGAAGTTGAGGGGTAGGGAATGGGGTATGATAAGTTCTTGGATTTCTGAAGACAAGATTATTGCCTGTTAACTGCAAACTTTACAAAAAAGGTAATATTTAAAATATTCTTTAAAAATCTGTTTGAAACTACACATATTGAGACAATAATTTGAAGCCACAGCTCTAAGAAAGAGATGGCTTCTCTAGCCAACTTCTATTACAGAAATCTTATATTTCTCTAACATTGATGAATCTTTATGATAACTGCTCAGTATCTGTTCCATAAATCCATTTTTTTTTTTAAACTTTCTTCTCTGTCATCAGGAGGATGGTCTTGGCCTTGGCTTCCTCGGTCTTAAGGTCTGGCTCCAATCTTTAAGGAATTCCACTCTTTGGACCTCATCCTCATACCAGAAGTCCATGCTTTCTTTCAAATCTACAGTATGAGCTTCACCAAAGGGAGCATATCATGCTTTAGTAATTACATCAGAATTCTATGGAGAAAGTAACTCACAGCAATCAACGCATTAATCTTCCTGCAATAAACCTCTGTCTTAAGGACATGTTGCAGAACAAATTGTGTGATTTCATTACTACTTCATTTGTTTTCTTTAACAACTCTGATCACATCATGAGATAGTAGCCACTATTTAATACACCAGCACAAATAATAGTAGTCAAAGTATAAACTGTCCTCAGAGTGAGTAATATTATACATTTTACTGTGCTGCAAACAAAAAGAAAAAAACAAAACAAAAAAATGAGGTATTTGCATGTGACTTCAGCCCCACTGTGTACAGGAAAAAAAGTGTAATCTTGTGCATTGTTACGTTGCATAACATTCCAAATTGTGTAAAAAATTTTCGTGCAGGATAGAGCAGAAAATTCCAGTTTTGTATATGCTTGTTATTTCCCCAATTTGCCTTATTTGTAAATCTTATTAGGATTTACAGCATTTATACCAAAGCCAACCTCTTCTCTAATTGTACATGTCCTAGAGAAATCAGTTTTAATTTTATTTAATTTATTTATTTATTTAATTAATTAATTTTTATGTCAACATATTCTTAAGCTGTGAAAATGCGTGCATATATAATGCAACACATTACTTTTAGAAAAGCTTAACAAATAAAATAATGCACTAAACATAAAAGTAATATGTTTTTGAATGAAAATTTAGGGTACATGTGTTAATATTAACATTATTTAAATTTTAAATATGCCCATAACCTACAAGATGAAAGTAGTTTAGGGAAAAACCTTCATTGTCAGAACTACATACAGAAAAGAAGATTGGGAAATCACAAACATAAAATGAGAAAAGACTTGATAGAGTGAGTTTGCATAACCAGCTTGGTGTTAGGCGGCCATATTTTTGTTGCTTCTGTATTCATTGGTGTGTGGTCTTATCAGGTCTGTTTTTGCAAAAAATGCTCTGACACTAGTATATCACTTGAAGTTGAATATCTGCATGCTTAAAGTTTCTTGCAAAGGTTAGTAGCCATAGACGGATGCATACAAATAAAAATTATCAAACATTGTAAAGTTTTTACATAGGGTTAAAAAAGGCAATAATGCAGACAAAAAACCTTGGAGCTCCAAAAAGAGCGAAGCTGGTCCTGCAGCGCTGGCTTGACTGTCTGAAAGTTTATAAAAACAAAATCCACCAAGTGAAAACCTTTTTTTGCAATACAAATCCAAATAGTAAGAGAGAGCAAATTTCTATCAACAAATATTTCATTTGCAATTTAGACTTGTAAATTTTTACCTTCAAGCTGGGCGTCTGGGTCTGGTCAACAGTGAATCTCATTAAAATACTGAATTGGAGATCATTTGGAAAAGATTCCCTGAAAAATAAAGAAAATCAGGCAAAACACATTACTTGCATAGGGCATGCATTTAATAACTGTATAGGTGCTCGCTCTAATTTAAAGGCTCTCTCTATAAACTAATCAAAAATTCGTCTACCTTTCAAACTACAATATATGCCTACTTGTTTTAATCTCTGGGTAGATATGCTATATCATACTTTCAGAAACATCCAGCTAATGTAGAAAGAACATATATCAAACGATCTTACTACTTTCAAGCAATTATATGTGCTAACATGTAAGACAAACACTCTCTCAACAGTAAAAAGAACGAGGAGTACTTGTGGCACCTTAGAGACTAACACATTTATTTAAGCATAAACTTTCATGGGCTAAAACCCACTTCATCGGATGCATGCAGTTCCACTGTATGCATCCGATGAAGTGGGTTTTAGCCCACGAAAGCTTATGCTTACATAAATGTGTTAGTCTCTAAGGTGCCACAAGTACTCCTCGTTCTTTTTGCTGATACAGACTAACACCGCTACCACTCTGAAATCTCTTAACGGTATGTGACTTATTAAATCCAATCCTGCTAGGATGTGCATTTCATAATCTAGAAAACTGATTCTGTATTCATCTTTCAATGTTAAGCATTCTAAATAGCAGGGATGATTTGAATTCCTTAAATTAGGTGGTATTTAGAAAACCACTACTATTACATTTGTTACATTTTAAAGCCATCCACAGGTTCTGTTTTGGGGACAATATCCTTACAGTACAGTGAGAGAGAAACGTGGGAATATACTCTGGTGCCAATCAAAATTGCACACACATTTTTGTCAGCAATGTATTACCTTGTGACATCAAGTGCCTTTTGAACTTTTGCTTGCACAGACCCAAGCAAATCAGCACCCATTTTCTTCAACAGCTGTGTCAACAACACAAACAGCCAATCCTGTAGATCTTCTTTATGGACCTGGATGAAGTCGACCAAGGTCTCCAAAAACATGCTGAACACCTAAAGGAGGCAGAGAAGGGAAAAAGAGAGAGGGGTGGGGGGGAAGAAAAGGAAACGACATTGACCTGTGTTGAACTCACAAATGATGAAGAAAGCAGTAGGGGAATCAAAGGCAGACAGAGGCAGTGATTTGCAGCCAAGCAGGAAAACAATCTGTCTTGCTTTTCATTGGTCTCCGTGATACAAGAGAATATTGCTATTCAACTTCAGCTGAAGTTTGACAATTAGCTATTCCATGCAGTATCATTGGGTAAAGAAATGTTTACTGTGATGGCTGGCACAACTTTATTTATTTTTTAAATTTAAACTTCTTTCCACTTCAAGCTTTATGTAATTAAGTCAGTTCTACGTAGACAATAAAATTGGCTTATCTTTTTTAAAAAAGCAAAGAGGCCACAGAAAGCTTAATTAAAATATGAGCTGTGGAGATCTGCATCAAGAGAATGCTTGTTCCTTTCCATAGACGATTTGGAGAATGGAACAGGCTTCTCTGTTCTTGCAGCATTCTGAAACAAATTATTCAGAGGAAAAGTCCTCCTAGCAGAGGAAAAACTACAGTACATTTCTGATTATGATGTCCTTTGGAAATATATGGAATATTAATCTTTCTAAAAACATATTAGCTACTATTTATGACATTTTGGAAGAGTGGTGTTGGGAAGCAAATATTCAGGAAAATGATCTATAAGTACATTTATGCTGCATAGCGCCTCCCACTCCCCCGGCAGTGATTCTCAGAGCCCAGGCCAACTGACTTGGGCTCGTGGGGCTCCCTCTCTGAGCCTAAAAATAGCAGCATAGACGTTCCTGCTTGGGCTGGAGTCTGGTCTCTGAAACTCAGACAGGATCTCAGAGCCTGGGATCCAGACCGAGTGGGAACATCTACACTATTTTTAGCCCCATTAGCCCAAGACCTTATGAGCCTTAAGTCAGTTGACCCGGGCTCAGAAATATTGCTGCTGCATTTTTTTTCCCAGTGTAGATGTACCCTATGTGAACTTGTATATTGCAAACTGTGCCAAATGTGTAAGTGTGAATGACAATTATTTATTTATTTATTTATTTATTTTACAAATTTCAAAACTTATAGTACAACCTTAAGATCAAGAAATATTTTAGGGTTTGGGTTGTTTTTTTTTTTTTTTTTTAAGTGTATGTATATATAAAATTTACCGCTAGGTGGCATTTTTTTTTCTTTTTAGGACCTTTCACTAACTTTTGGATTTACATGTGCTTATGCGGGAGTGGAACATACATGTTCTAGATATACAATTTCAAAGGTATGTATTCTGCCAGAATTCCAGCCTAATCTAGGCCATAACACACACTGCTGCGTAAGTGCACGCATGAGAGAGTTCACTATAATTACTTTTTAACACCGATGTCATACGGTCATTAAGATAAATATACCCAACGCATTAAAGGTGCAAATCCATATGCTTAGTTTACAAGTGTCCGTTATTAGGTATTTAGGGCTGGCACTTGATTAATAGGCACTGGATGTCAAATAATACATTCAAATTCTCCCAGGATCCTACAGACACCAAACAGTATAATCTTCAGGGCTACTTTAAATATTTTACATCTTCCTGTCCCAAATAGGTAAAAAGTTCCTCAAGAGAAAACATTTTCTTTCCACTCTAAAATGAAATACTGTAGGGTATATTCTCCTCCCTTCCATCTATTGTCTTTGATGTTTCTCTCGCTGGGTGAAGGCTGAACATTACTCCAGTGCTGCTCCTGGTTGAGGTGGGGGGGTTACTCAAGAACCACATTAGAGGTCTCCACAACCAGCATGCCTACCCACTGATAATTCAAGGGCACAGAAAACAAGGGGGGGGGGAAAAAAAGCTATCAAGCTCAGGACTTTAACTCCGATTCCACATAAGCAATAGCACACAGATTGCTGTGTAGGCCATTTTAAATGTGTTGTGCAGAATTATTATATCTGTACATACAAATCTCCAAACAGTAGCACTGGAAAGTCAAATGATCAAATTATGTCAATTACTCTGCCTGAGTTACATATAACTGTAAGCGAACTGGACTTGTAACAGGGCTTTCCAAGTGCCTTTTCTTTCTCCCAAGAAACTCCATTAGGTTTGGCTGAGATATCAACTGTTAAAATATCACTATTTCCCTGCTGTCACTTGCATTCTTCAGGAATATTTTGGCAATATGTCAAAATAACAGAACAGGAGCATTCAAAAGAGCTGGACCCATGCTGCCACCACAGCAGCACACACATCCCTGGGAATACCTGGGAGCTGTCAAAATAGCTGTAGTGGGAAAAAGGGTGGGAAGAGGGCCAAGCTGGTCTCCCCCAGGCCCAACACAGAGCTCCAGTTGCCCATCTTTACCTTTTTCCTCTTTAAACACAAAACAACAACAAACCTAGAAAATTACCTTTAAAAAAATTATTTTAAAGAGTGTTACTTTAATTGCAAAGTTGAGCACTCAAAAGTTAGGAAATGTCATATTTAACATCACCTGGGGAATTCTGCTCCCTGTACATATACATTATAGTACAGGGTAAAATTGTAATTAATTTGAAATTTTGAACATCCATAGGACTTAAGTTTCTACATGGACTTATAAAAACTCTAGAAAATGGGACTTGGGTGCTTTTGAACATTTTATCCACAGTCCTTAATTACATGATCTCATTTTTTTTTTTTTTTTTTTTTTGCAGGACTCCTGCCTCAGTGCACAGGATGGATGCCCAAGGAGGGCAATTTAAGGGTTTATGGTTAATCTTGCATCAGACATTTCCTAACTTTTGAGCGTTTAACTTTGGAATCTACATAACACCCTTAAAGTAGCTTTTCTGTTTGTAAATAAATAAATAAATAAATAAATAAATATAGGGGATGTGCAACATGGCTGAATTAAAATTGCTCTCACAGCTGTAATTTTTGGAACTACCTGATTTCTGAATGTTTGTTTCTCAAACTTAACTGTATGTTAACACCACCTTTTTATTGTTTTGCATTGTATAAGCCAAATTAATTAGTCTACACCAGCTTCCACTGGTCTCAGAAAACGGTTGAACAGCAAGGAATCCACAACTTTTTTTTTTTGCTAGGACAAACACAGCCAACCCCCAAAACGTGTGTTGAAGTTGCAGACCAGGCATTAAACACGGTGATTTGGGCATGTATTGATTTGGTGCATTCCCACTACAGCCAGGGGACTAATAAGGAGCACAGCACAGATTAAAATTATTGTTCCCTAAAGGAGGGAGTGCCTTTCCTCATTGCCACACGAAACTGCTGAGGTTAAGAATTTAGCAAGATTGAAAAAAGGAACAGCTACTGGACATTGCTACAGATGGCAAGATATCTGGAGTGGTCGTAGTTAATCATAAATTATAGAAGGGATATTAAATATCATTTTTCAGGGCCTGAGCCAGTATCTAACTATAGAAAAGGATGAGACCTAATGTTGGAGAAAGATTACCACACATCTGCTCACTGCAAGGTTCTTTTATCTTCCTCTGAAGCCCACTGATCATCCTCATAGAAAGGTTACTGGACTAGATGGACCTCAGGTCTAATGCAGTATGGCAATTCTTATGTCCTTTCCAAGGGGATGAATTTTCTTCTTGCTGTTATGGCCCTTCATGATGAAGGGAGGTGAAATTTGCCTCTTCTTTTACCAATGGAGAATTGATCTAGCCCAATTTATTAAATGTGAGGGAAGGGGAAAACTCTGCTACTGTCATGCTTGAGAATTAAATGTACAAAAGAAGGACTTTATGAAGTGATGGTTTCCACAACAACTATAAATCTGACACCAGCACATATTTAATATTTTGTACTGCTGTGTACACATCTATACCATTATATACATGCAGTGTGATAGAGTTAGAATTGCTGGGAAAATTACAGCTGTCAATTTCTTGGCTTTTGTACATTTTCAATTCTCAACCATGATGTTACATTAAGTGTTGTGTCTGAGTTTCCTTCCTTTAAAAAAAATAAATAAATAAAAAAGCTTGGTTGGGGGGAAAAACTCAAAGAAAAACGTGACTGATCTTTGTGAAGGAAGATCCATGGCATACAGTGCACGTGAATTTTCGAGTTCAGTTATTCTGAAGTTGGAGAAATAATGTAAAGATCGTCACAAAATTATTTGCTGTCCTACTACTTGTAAGTACATATGTACACACACAATTAAGTTTAAAATCAAGCACATTGTTACACCAAATGTATTTTCGTAAGGACAAGATGCATATTTCAGTTTGTTGGACGTCATAGAAAAGTAAGAAATTCATTTTATAAGGGACTACTGGAAAAACGTCAACATTACTGTTTTATTGGTAGATACCTCTTTTGTACCAGTCAGCAAATGAATTAATTGAAAATCTAAATTTGCATACTATAATACTGTCACAGGGTACGCTGGCTCTTTAAGAAGATTCTGACTCAGCCCCAACTGTGCTAGGCTTAGGCTACCTCCCCTAAGAGCAGGGCCGGCTCCAGGCACCAGCTCAGCAAGCAGGTGCTTGGGGTGGTCAAGGGGAAGGGGCGGCACGTCGGGCTCTTCAGCGGCACTTTGGCGGCGGGTCCCTTAGTTCCTCTCGGAGGGAAGGACTGGCCGCCGAATTGCCGCTGAAAAAGAAAGCGGCGCGGTGGAGCTACCGCCGATCACAGCTCCCCCCCCCCCCCGCCACCGGGGGCGGCAAAAACCCTGGAGCTGGCCCTGCTAAGAGAAAGACATAAGGGGTCACTAGGTTTTCTGGGGAATATCAGGGCAGCCTGAATTCAGTCAGAGAGTATGGAAAAAAAAGCTTGCTGGAGAGGTGACAACTCTTCAGAGCTCCCAGGCAAAAGGCCTGAAAGAGAGAACTGCAAGAACAGTACCAACTTGTTGAGGGACAAGCGTCAGCTAAGGGACCTGCAGGGAGAAAGGTATGTAAAGGTCTGTTAGGAAGGGGAAGCCCTGATAAAGGACAGGAAGAACTTTTAGCCAAGATGGAGGGTTATGTGGATGTCAAAGACCATTATAAACTGAATGGACTAAATGAATCCATGAAAGAGGGCTGGAAGGTTGTGTGTATTATTTTATGGTACTAAGCCACACCCAGAAGAGGAAGCAGTATTCTGAAAACATGAGATACGGTGTTTTGTTTGGCACATGACAGAAGGGAAAACTGAGGTAGGTGGAGGGCCAAAGCCAGACTTCTCTAGTCAAAGGCTTTTAACTATGTCAAATTTCAAAGGCCTACAGCAAACAATGGAAGTGTTATGAGCTTCTTAACAAAAAGGTCACAAGAATCTATTATAATGAGAAGTTTAATGCAAATTAAATATAGCGATTGCTACCAGCTCTCCCTATATAATAGTATTTGTTAGTAACGATAATATTCTAATATTTACATTTAACAATGCAAGCAGGAATATGAAATACAACATATATATAGCACAGACAAATATTATGGGAAACCTTAACTTCTGAGTGCTTGATGTTCCATCATAACAATTGTGGATTTTTTTTGGTGGTTTTTAAAGATTAAGAAATTGAGCCAGGAGCTTACAAACTCTGCTTTCTTTGTCACGGGAGCTCATAAATTTCTTGATCTGGAGTTATTTGGTTTGGTGCTCTTATACTGAAATCTGCAGGCTGAATAAGCTGGTTAAACATTTATACGCTCATAGAGCACTTCAGATTTCCTAAAATAAATGTTCATATTAAATTAAATTATCTTCAACCCTTGTCTTGTCTAAGTCTCAATTAATGCCTACAAAACAAAACAAGTTTGACATTTTGTTTCTAATTTCAGCTGTCTATGTCTGGGAATAACACAAAAATGGTTGAAGTGATTTTGCTCAAATTTAAAAAACAAAACACCCCCACTTCTACGCCCCCAAAAAAACACAAAACAAAAAACCCAGGCACCTCTGAATCTGAGACAAAGCATGGACAATTTGTTTGATAAAAGTATATGAGCATCAAAACAAGAGTGAGATTAGAATGGAAGCTGGAATTCAAACTTTAATTATAGGGGGAACAATCCATACGTGCTATAGTTTCTCTAGATACAGTCTTTGTTTTCATGATTCAATTTTAAATTCTGAAATCAGTCATCTTAATCACATTTTGATAGTGGAGAAATAAACAGATATTGTAAGAAAAAAAAGTACTATAATTGAGATCTTTCTTTAAAATGAATTAAGTTTCAGATGCGCCAATCACCACAATATAGAACAGGAGTGCATAACCAAATAAGGTCAGTTAATTAGTAGAAAAACACATCTCAAAACATTACCACGCGTAATTCTATATGAATTGCGAAAGGCTTGACACTGCATGAACTCTTTGGGGAAGGAAAAAAAATAGAGAAAAAGCGTTAATTTCACAATCATGCAATAAGGTTAGATTTCCAGCAAATATTGATCCAACTTACTCTCTAAAGAGAGTTCCAACACAGGGGACAGCATGCAAAAAGAAAAAAGGGGAAAAAAGATAAAAACACACAAATTAGTTTCCATCAATGCAAAGTTCCTGTATGGAAGAAAAAACACAAAAAATAAAAAGGTATTTCAAAACCTGTACAGTAAATTTAAAATTATGTTCCAACTGTTCTTAGAATAGTTTGGAAATAAACAGTTGGTTTGCTCCTGTTTATTTTTTTCCTTAAAACCAATTTTTTTCCCAGAAGGACACAACTTTTTCCCTATGCAATTCCTTGTACTTGGTTAAAGATGTACTGGAACACATTAAAAAAATATTAGACATTCACACTTTACATACTGTAGTTATAATTCCTGTAGAAGCTGGGAGAAAAACTCTTAGAAAAGATTTTATATGGTCACCTCACATATAAATATAAAAAACCTAATTGTTAATTAACTCTTTGATGCTTAAAGTTGGGGTATCCTGCTGTGGAATGCGCTGCTGGACAATTAATGGTTGGGAATATCCAGTGGTGGCAACACAGTCAGTGATTGGAACTAGGGGTTAATTGTAAATATTTTTAAAATATTCACAGTATTCACTACTGTATAGTCACAAACTTTGGTTTAGATATAAAATGGATGATACCTCAGTTTACAAAACAAAACAGGTGTTATTATATCAATGTGTCCAGTAAACACGAAAAGAAGAGATATATTATATACATATGGAACACGATAATTGTTTATGATATCTGTCTATTTTAAAGTGATCTTCATTCCAAAAAAGATGTCATGCATGCTTATAATGTCACTTCTGTTTTTTTGTACACTCTTGTCATGAAATAATTTAAATGCTATATTTGGCATATACAATTTCAAGCTGGAATACTTTTAGTTCTGCATATTTTGCAAAGGAAAATAAGTTTTTAGTATAAAGAAAATTTTCACACAGTAGTTCTTTGATATATGAACTGATGTAATGTTTGTAAGACAGCAGCCAAACTCCTACTAACTAGCGTCCAAGTCAAATGGTGACAAAAATCAACAATTTGCCATTTCATCAACATTGGTATATTTATGGAGTTTACATAAATGTTCTAGAGAGCGATATTGCTAAAAGAATACTGTATATGCATGACCAATCAAAATAATGCAGTAGTTTACACAAGATGCTCATCTCATACATTTATCACTTTGCTTCAGCAGAACCCACCACCATTATTGATCTCCTGGAATTCTATATTTTTCAGCACTCTTTTTGTGTGTGGGGGGGTCATTCTCTCTTCCTTCCCTCTTCTGGATGTTCACTTGATCTCCCTGGGGCATCTCTTCTTCAACTTTTCCCTTTTCCACTGCTTCCTCCTCTCTTGACTTCCTATGATCCTCAAGGCCTTTAGCCTTCAGGTTCAGGCCTCTGTTCTCATGTGTACCCCAAAACTCCCAAATTTCTAATCTTGCCATAGGTGGCTATTACTCTGCCTTATCCGTAAAAAGGGCAAACGTCAGGCAAACTGACAAGTTAATTTGGTGCTTTACTGTTACTTTAAATTTGTCAGGGTTTCAGTACAGTTAAGATATCACCAAGTTCTGAAGGTTTATCAAGTGTACATTAACATTTTGATAGGCATTTTTCAGTATTCTATTAGCAGCAGCCATCAGTTGTGACATTTATAGTAGAGTTGTAAAATACTGAAATGATTAACTACTTTCTGTTTTGCTGTGAAACTTTATGAGTGTTTTTGCTATCACTTAATCAATACTGATAGATGGATAGAAACTAGCATATGCTGTACATCTCAGACAAAACGAGTACCTATTACTTTCAATACACAGAATACCTACAATTCAAGATAAGCCCTAAATTATAAATAAACATGAAGTTTTAAAAATGTTTTATATTTATTTTCATATCAGCATCTGCATTGCTGTGCCCAGTTGTCTGAGATGTTTCACTTTAAGTTCGTTAATGGAGCATTAAATAAGGCACAATGGTCCACCCACTTGAGAGAGAGAGAGAGAGAGAAGGCAAACAACCAAAACTGAAAATATAACCCAAAAGTGGAGATTCAGTAAAATAAGTTAGTTAAAATTGCTGTCAGAAACCCAAAAGAATATTGTAATTGTTATGTCATCCTGATTTATGAGGCACTGATCCATATTTGCCTTGTAAAAAGTCATGTAATGTGAACAAAACATGATACTGTTTTATTACTGATAGCAATATATTCTTTACCTTTATTTTACTACATATTAATGACCATATAAAAAGAATTAAATCTGTAGAGCCCTAATTTCCAACCAGTCATTTATCTATGAGAATAAAGGAAGACACACACAATCCATTATCACTCAAAAACATATACCCTAGAAAGCATCTGAAGTATATACTTGGGGTTGCTAATCAGCCTCACTTTGTACAATTTAACTGTAATATTTCTTGCATCAGATAAACTCAATATATTCCTGATTGAGAATCACTTTTCATTTTACCTTTGCAACAAATACTACGAGCTTACAAGAATATTTCAGAATGTTGAACACTCTAAATGTTGAATAAATTTCTATTTAGGTATAATAAAGTATTATTTACTTTATCTCAATTATCCTGTATCAGTAAAAGAAAAAGTGAACTTGTTTCAATTAATTAATTAATTGGGTCAAAACTCCACAGTTTCCTTACATTCTATCAATTAACTCAATCAGTGAAAATTAAGAACACATACTTATGCCTCACCACCTGTTTGCAAAGAGCTCCTAAATAACTCAGATGACCACCTCTCACAATTCAATGCTTATAATACACCTTTATGGCAAATACTTTAAGTGTGCAAATGAATACTTACTAATATAATTTACAGAAATTGTTCTGTAGTATTAATCTACAATATTTCAATGTGCTGACTACAAGTAAACAAAGGAATATCAACAGAAAAAAAAACAAAAAACATACCTTGCTATGAGGGTCAGCAAACATCCTTGTGAAGATTTCACACAATCTTTTCAATTCAACGCGACTGTTAAAATGACGTAACAATTAATTAGTCAACTATGGGCTACTGTAAGGAATTATTTTAACAGGTCACAGACTGGATACTTCAAGTCCAAAGTTCAGGTTAAGAGGTTCTGAAAAACACCTTTTCAATAGAAATATTTTCATTTTTGTTTAAAATCTAATTTGAAGTTTAACTTCAATTTAAACATTCTTATGCACTATTTGCAACCCAAATAACATAACAATGATACTAGTACAGAACAACCAGTGAAACTGACTACAAGCCAAAGTGAAAGTGGTAGCTATTAAACGTCTCAAATAAAATTAATTTTAAAATTTTCAGTTTTAATAATCTAATGTTAATACAGATAAAATTTATTTTTAAATATGACTTAATCCAATAATGTCCCTTTATAGTAACACTTACTAAACGTTATAGAACCAAAACATTGTTTACATTTCCACTTATAACTGAAATATGAAACAGGATATATTTAGAGACATTCTTAGTCTTTAGGGATATGTCTACAAAGCAGCTAAGAAGGTGCTTCCCAATGCAGGTAGACAGACATGAGCTAGTTCTGCTTGAGCTAGCATGCTAAAAATAGCAGTGTAGCCATGAAAGCAATTGGTGGAGGCTCAGGCTATCCATTCTACATACCCAGAGGGACAGGCGGGATTGTACTGTACTCAAGCGGCGAGTCCAAGCCACTGCCTGGCCCGCTGTGGCCACACTCCTATTTTTAGTGCACTAGCTTGAGCAGAGCTAGCATATGTCTGTCTACCTGTGCTGGGAAGCACCCTCTCAGCAGATGTGTAGATATACCCCAGGAGTATCAAATAGTTTCTGTTGAACACAGGATTGCACCTCCAGTTGACACCAATTAGGACTCCACAGATTAGGAATTTTTCTGTCTTGAGGAGCTCTTGGTTTAAATTTTGTCTCTAATGCTATTAAATAAGGACTTCTATCACTGTTTATTATTTCTTTAATTTCACCAATAATTTCAACACTGTACAAGGTTCCCAGATAAAAATTATGTTAAACTAGAACATATATCAGTAACTTAAAGATAAAAATATTACAGGGATGTTGTAATTATCCCCCAAATAAGCATTACAAACCCAGGGAATTAAGAGTTAAGGGTAAATTTAAAAGAAATTCAAACATGTTAAGGTATGGGAATGCTGTTAAGTAAACAAAAAAATCTTAACTTTGCTTTGTAAAGATATCATTGTGATGACTAACAATTGTGAATAGTGCACTACAGTCCCAGATTAAACTAAACTGATTTTTAAAGACCTCTGATAATTTTTTAAAAATGCTTCCCTCAGAGTGTCATTACAAGGAAGAGATAAGGTTGTTTGGGTGCCTTAACTGTGTATTTACATATTTTAACATGTTTGGATTTCTTTTAAATTTAATCTTAAATCTGAATTTCTTAAGTTTCTACTGCTTGTTTTTTGGGATACTTATATGTAATGTTTTTACTTACATTACTAACATGCAGTCAAACTTAACTACAGTTTAATCTAAGTTCTTATCTATGATTCACTTTTAAAAAATTTTAAAATTTTTATATTTGCACACTAAACAAAAAATCCCATGAGTAGTGTTAATCATGTTGATCTGAAGATCTGCAGCATAACCCCAAGATCTGTATTTTATTTCAGCTTTTCGGCCCAGATTAACCAGCATACTCTGTGCATCCGAAGAAGTCTCTATGCATCCGAAGAAGCGAGGTTTTTACTCACGAAAGGTTATGCCCAAATAAATCTGTTAGTCTTTAAGGTGCCACCGGACTCCTTGTTGTTTTTGTAGATACAGACTAACACGGCTACCCCCTGATACTTGACAGCATGCTCTGGATGCTTTACTCACTTTGGAGGAGCACAAAACAGACAGAACATACATACTCGCTTTTCCATCCCTCCTGCCCCGTCCCCGTTTTCCCCTTTCTCCTAGGCTCCAGATTCCCATGCACATCACCCCTCAATACTTCCCCTCCTGCTCTCCTTGTTGAGTAAATCTGGTACAAGGGTATTTTTAAAAAAATATATTTTTTAAGACTGTCACTTTTGCCATTATTTTTAATAACTGAGCATTTCTTCTTTAACAGGAGCTAAAGAATAGTGTTCTTCTACAAATAATTTCGTCAAGATATGCCCTTTTCAAAATGGCTCCCATCTTCTCTTGTCCTCAATGAAACAAAGGCCACAGTTGTCCTAAGCTGCCCTTTCAAAGTAACCACTAGCTCCCTGAAAATAGCATAGTGTAGGCCTAGCTTGACATAAGTAACTTGCCTCATTTCTTAGTGGACATGATTGGGAAGATGAATGAAAAGTTAAGTTGTAAACAGGGGCTTGACAAGCAGTATGCTGGAGTCAGGATGTCTGTACTAGCTAAAATAAGCAGCAACATCCTAATGCTAGCGACAATGGACAAGATAAACCTGGAATGTGAAGATCATGTTCTGCATGAAAAGCACATGGACAAAACATGCTGCACAGCGATTGGTTCCTGCAAAATAACCAAGCCAATCCAAAAATGTGTGATGTAATGTATAGCAAATGCAATGTAACGTGTAAATGTATATAAAAGAAGAGGTTTTCTGTGTAACTCTGGATGCATGGTACGCCCTAAATCTAACCCCTACGCTTGATTCTGATCAACTCAGCATAGCTTTGCTGTATGCCAAATACAGGAACCCGAGTAATGAAATCTGGAGTCAAACTGAATGATTTGGATCCCAGAGAACTGGATGAAGTGTTCTCCCAGAACTGGACAAGGTGTTCTGGATAAGCTAAGTGAAAACACTTTCAGAGGGAATCCCAACACATAGGAATCCTCACTCTTCTATGAAGGTAGCTTGGCTTAAAACTCCCCATTCTGAGCAATGGGAGACGGTGGTTATTTCCAGAATTTCAACTCTTGATAGTTTAAGGAGTATTGGGATGAGGGACAAGGATCTCTGGTACTTATTGTAGAGGTAAAAGTGTTTAAGCATGTTTCCTTCCTGGTTTGAGGCCAGTTTTTGCAGTTTCTTCTGAGTCTGCAAGTACCTTGTCCTCCTTCTTGCTAAAAGAATTTGTCACTGGTGAATTTTACACAGTTCACAGTGTTTGATCTGTGTGAATCTAATATCCAGATCTACAGTCACAGGTTCCTCCAGATACGTCAATGAAAGACATGGACCTTGCTCTGGGCATCCACAGATGTGTATGCCAGGATAGTAGCAGCTAAGGAAATCTTACTTTGGATAAAGTCTACAATTTCAGCAAGTAAAATCTTTAGGTTTTTAAGCTATGTTTCTGAAAAATTGTCCCAAGAAAGCAGGAAATGAGATACTATTTTTTACATGGTCATAAGTGATGCACTTAATCTTATAAATATAATACATACCAAGAAACTGATTATCATCATTTTTGTGCATTTACAGGATAATGCAAAGAGATCTCACAGAAACACTGCAATCTGCATTATTTATTCAGAAGAATATACTACTTTGCTTATTTCAGTATTTTGAAACTCCAATTCTACCTGTAATACAATGAAGGCTACATCTACACATATAAAGCTACTGGGAAAATGAGCCTCAGCTGAAAAACAGTGCCTCCTCCCCCTCAAGGAAAACTGTTCTTGTGTAAGAGACATTTTCTTACCTTAAAGTCCTCTGATTTTTTAATAAATTCTGTAGACCTAGAAGACCTTCTTTTCTTTCTGACCAGTTGGAGCTAGCACAGCGATTGAGGACCTCTGCCACATCTTCTGTCTGCCGCATATATGTAGGTATGCTGCCATTGCGAGAGCTGTACGATCTTTCTGAACAGGCACTGGATGCATCACTGTTGGCATCATCATCAGAGTACATTCCATACGACTCGTACCTCCTTCGTACAGGCTTTTTCTATCACATACAGACTCCCAGATTAGCAATGATCACAAAGAGTTGTCAAACTTTGTATTTGCACATATCTATACAAAGGCTAGCACCTTCACTGATCACCTGCATTGACATTATGGCTCCAATTCCATTGTTCAACAAGTCATGCAACATTAATATCTTAAAGCCAGATTGATTATATAGAATTCGAAAAGTAAAAATGAAGCATATAGCACGACAGGTTATCCATCTAATCAATTTTCTTCTGCATAAGTTTTACTTGTGAAAAATACAAATATTTATCATAATAGAGGGAGAACAGAGCTACTGAAATTTAGTCATTTCACTCAACCTTACACAACCTCAAACTAACAATATCAAGTTTAAAATGACATTTTCTATTACTTCTTTATGTTTAGTTTTGTACAATCTTAGTACATACTATATTAAAATGTTAAACTATCAGAAGTAAGGGGAAAACAGTGATTTCTATACCTTAGTCCGTATGTCTCCTAAGAGCTGATAGCAGTAAATTATTAAAGAGAAATAGAGAAATTGAGAACATTGAGGATAATTGCCATGTACTAGTACTATAACTAATTTTCATTATGGTATCACCTGTCACTAGAAACAACAGTGTTTTTTTTTTTTTTTTTTTTACTATATTAAGACAATGGCTATTAGCATGCAACTTTATTTATTCTTTGCCCTCACGATCTCAGATATAAAATATGTAACATTGCCATATCATGCATTACCAATAAGAAATTTTACTGTCTATACTTTTCCAGAAAAATACATCATAAAGTAATTTATTAGGTCTTCACAAACTAAGATAAGACACAAACTTCCCAGTTTAAAACTTTCTGGCTCTCTTACACAATGGCAATTCAACTTGAGGACCCTGTTATGTACAGTCAACTATCTCAGCACCAACCAAACAAATGTTCTTGGTTTTGGAATTTTTTGTCAAAATGTTTTTCCCCTTTTTCTACTGTGGAAGTTTTCTGACAGCTTTGCTCTCAGCATCTGGAACCTTCCACCCAATTCTGGAATTACAAAGAGTCCCTATAGAAGCAAATTACTAGAATTCCGTATAAGAATTAATTTTAAAATACAAAAAACAAAAACAAAAAACAACCAACATCCTCTCCCGCCTCAAAAAATAACCAAAAACATGAAACCCAAACAGGCCAAAGGATTGAGAAAAAACAGACTTATCACCCTAGAGGGAAAAAAACCACATCTCTGCAAAAGAAACCCCCTATCCAAACTCTGAATCAGAGGTGTGTAGTGAGAATCCTGTTTGATATAGTCAAAGAAGCAGAAGTATAAGTGAATACTTTCCCCTTCATTAACATTACAATTTGCACAGAATTCTTACTCTTCAATGCTGAATAACTTGAGGGATGCTCTTAAAACAAACAGCACTGCAACAGTGTAACAAGTAGGCCTATGCTTAACCGTATGTGGAATTCTTTCACGACCTTCAGAAGGAATCCAGAATGTGCTCATAGCACCACATTATCAATGTAAAACCTGATTTAAAGTGGATCAGTCAGAGCTTGAAGCTCTATGAATTGAGCTCTTTGCTACCAGGAAAATGAACATTCATATAAGAAATGTTAATTGGTAGAATCTGAATAGCTTGAAAGGAGCATTCATCAGTTTTGGGCAGACCACATCAATACCACAACAGAAGGGGGGGGGGGCTTATTAATTAACGAGTTATTTCTAACACGTAAAGAGCCACGTGAATCAGGTGACCAAGCCCTGCAGAGACACTTCTTTAAATTCAGCTGATCCATGATATCCCAAAACAGTCGCCAAATAAACAGGAATAGAATAAATCTTTAATCCTTGATTCGCAATTAAATGGTAGTGTAGCAGTTTTGTGGGGCGGGGGGGGGGGGAAGGGAGAGAGAGAATTAGGTCCATTTACATTACAAATATTTTATATTTACAAATAGATGTCATGATACTGGAGTTCTATCTTTTCAAGAGCCTGGACAGGGATAGACTCCTGTACTGCATCAGAGCAAAATAAACTCAGAGCCAGATTCTCATCCAAATGGATAGTCACTACCAATCAGAGCAAGACTAGGGACCACCCATGCCAGGGGCTTTGCTACAAGAGGTTATGGTGGACAGATGTACAGATGACATTTCCTTCTCCAGTGGGTGGAGAGGCATTCCTTATTAGTGTGATCTTCCAGTATCAGAAGCACAAAACTGATAGTTTCTCATTCAGGTAAGCAGCCTTCTAAAACCTCAGTGAGTGAAACAGCAGAAGACAAAACTGAGGAAGAGACATTCGTAAACCTGACTCCCTCGAAGACACCACCCTCCCATCACACACACAGACAAACTGAATCTTAGGCTTGGTCCACACTTACCCCCCAAGTCGAAGTAAGGTACGCAAATTCAGCTACGTGAATAACGTAGCTGAATTCGACATACCTTACTTCGAACTTACCGCGGTTCAGACGCGGTCCACACGCGGCAGGCAGGCTCCCCGTCGACTCCGCGGTACTCCTCTCGTTGAGCTGGAGTACCGCAGTCGACGGGGATCACTTCCTGGTTCGATTTATCGCGTCCAGACCAGACGCGATAAATCGAACTCGGAACTTCGATCCCCAGCCGCCGAACTAGCGTGGCAGTGTAGACCAGCCCTTAATTGTTCTTTTCCATGAAGCTGACAGAAAGTTCCTCACTATCAGAGGTACTGGACAGTTTCTGAGTGCAGGTAGCCAGGATTTACCAAACTGTCAGTCACACTCTGAACAGTTTTGCTTGACAGGATTTCAGCAATGGAGGAAGGGGAGAACATTTTCTTGACTTTTATCTCAGCCAAGGTACAGGTATAGGAGTTTTAAAAAGCTATGATACAATTACTCTGACTCAGAGTGGTTTCTGCCAATGACACGCTAACCTATGTCCTCCAAACATTTAATCTATAAAGCACATTGACCTATGAAAGAAATGGACAGGAAAGAAACAAAGCAAGGAGTCACTTAACTGATGACTTTATGAATATAAGTAGCGTACTACAGGACAACATGCTAAATACCAACTTATGACAAAACACAGAAGACCTCCATTGATTTCAGGATATTAGGTTAATCTGAATTTGAATATTTGCTAATGTGAAATTAAGGCTAACAAAATACAGAAACAACAACAAAAAAGTAAAATATGCCTAGACCTGGCTTGATTTAATAGAGGAAGACAGTAAAGAAAATCCCTTCAAAATATTAAATCAACATTTTAATTTTGGGTGGTTAAAAATATCAAAGAAAGGTAAATAAATGGAACTGGTTGGAAATTCACTAAGGAACTTCTATCAGAAAGCATCAATTAGTTGAAATTGAGACATCTGTGGGACTGTGTCCATTTTGATAACATTCTAATGGAAATCAGGCACGTTTCCAATGGAAACCAACCTTGCTGTTTTTCTGCCAGCTTGTCTGCTGGCCTCCTTGGCAGCCCAGCTGGAGATAATTGTGGAGCCCAGACTTCCAAGCTCCTGGTTCCCAAGCTCCAAGTCTTGCAGCTCTTTGGCAGCTCCCAGGTAGCTTGCCTAATGGGGCACTGCAGAGCCGGGGCCTCTTGAGGAAGTGAGCTGTCAGTTCCCTGTCTGACCAGTTCAACACCTGGCCGGCTCCCCACAAAATATTTTAATTTTTTTTACCCAATTCTGCTATAGAATGGAATTTTTTTTCAAAATCTAGAATTTTTCATGGAACAAAAATCTCAATGCTGTTTAGCTCCAGTAAACAGGTTCTTCATTTTTTGTATAACATGCAAAATACATTTAGATACTAGAAAGTATAGGATAAATATGATGTTACCAAGTTTATATGCATATATATTTATTTTCCTGTTGTGTTGTGCTGATTTACAAGGTAAACAGGTGTCCTATTATCCATGTTTTAATCGTTTTAAAGTTGTGATATCAATTTGACAGTCATTATCATGGCAAATCCCAAAAGGATCTCCTTGCAGACTGAGTACCATCTGGACTGATGAACTTGACAATAGCTGGGAAATAAAACTACAGCCAAGTCTGTCTCTGAATTACAAGTCTGCCTTTTGTTCTACAGAGGTGCAATGGCAGAGCAACTTAACTTTCAACATTTGTTTTTATTTTTTAAGTTTCAATAGTTAACATAATTCTGAGCCAAAACATAGAAAATGGAAACCAGACCCAAAGAATCTACAATCTTGAGAAGATATTGGAACAGTTTCTGATTTTGGACACATCATTAATTTGCTTGTTCAGAGCTTTAGTTTTTATTCAAAGGGGAAAAAATTTCAATCACTCGTCTTGTATTACACTAGTTGTTCATGCTATCATTTAATCAAAATTCCACCTCAATGAGCTAGCTCAGGTAAACAAATGTAATTTCAAACCTAAGGAACTAAACTGTTTCACAGTTCAGAATGCCTATAAATACATATATGTAGATATATATAATATACAATTTAAGTGATCACACAATTCAAAGTTTTTAGTCTGCTTAAAATGATAAATGGAGGATTCTTACCAATGCATCTGCTACTGCTTCTTCTACATCAGAACCTGTGTTCAGAACTCTCATAGCACTAACTGATGATGACAATCTACTTGACTGACTGATCCCAAACCCTGTACCTGTCATAACAGAATAAGAAAATAATAAACATTTAAATCAGAATTGGAAAATAGAATTTTAGTCACTTAAAAAAACCCAACCAGAAGTATAGTAATTGGCAAGTGCTCTGCTCTACTTAATTTCATTTAACTGAAAAGTTAAAAAAAGAATTGATGTGGCAATTATCTGATTTGTATTTTTGCAGCAAAAGAATGGGAAAAATAACAAACATTAATCAATGATTAAATAGAATGTCTGATAAATATTTGTACTATGAAAGAAAGGAATCAAGAGGATCAACTGAGGCGTTTGCACTACAGAGCTACTTTTCTTTTGAAGAGCACCTGTTAAAATATATTAATCATTTTGGGTTTTTTTAATTATTTTTTAAAATAAAAAGCAAAATATGAGGAGGGCTACCAAGAGCGCTATGTTAGAGAACTACATGCATAAAAAGTGCTACAAATACCAAATAATGAGGAACTAAAATAAAGTACATCTGCCAGTAAAAATAACTGTAAATACATTGGGGGGGGGGGGGGGGTTGACCTTGGGAAAGAAAAGCTTGCAATGTGTACACATCAACCTTGATTATCCAAAACACAGAACTCAAATTAATGTAAATAATAGTTTTTAAAAATGGATTGTAAGGAAAACCAAGTGGGAAAAAGTATCCAGGATGACTGCACAGATGACAGCAAAGTGTACTCATCCTTCACCTGTAGCCCCATATACTTCTGGGGTGTAGAGGGCACCAGTAGATCTGGAGTGATGCCTGGAAGCTGCAATAACAGGATCATATAAACCCTATCTATTATCATGGAAGCAAGGTACAGTGATAACTGTATAGATAAAGAGAATACTTTTTAGGAAACAGATGTAGCATTATTGCATGAAATAGAACAAATTAACAGAGAAAACATGAAAAAGTTTCAGAAAACAAGTCCCTCAACTACATAACAAGTGGGTTATTGTACAGCAATTCATGCTGCAGAAAATTAAAAGCAAATATTCCCTTTTTTAATTCAAAGCAAAACACATATATACACCCCTAATGAGCCTTTCAAAACAGCCCACTGAGTCTGTATCTTAACTGCAAAGTTAACTTGACTTGTCTACACTGGAGGGCCTAGCTTGAATGACAGCAGCCACAATGCAAAATAATACTTGAGCTGCACAGAATAATTAGATTACTGCACAGAGTTACTGTATTAGCAGCTGACAAGTTGTGCTAACTTGAGCTGTAGCCTATACCCTTGAAAGGCTAGCTAATTCAAGCTAAAAGTACCACTAGGCTCAAATTAATGTTTTTTGTGCCTGGATAAAAAAAAATGATTTAAAAAGGGTTTTTTTTTAATACATTATTTTTTAAAAGTAAATGAAAAGTTATGTATTAAAAATAAACCTGTTTTATTTTCAAATTTAATTTTAAAACTCTATTAAGGCCTAAATTTACAATTATTCTACTTAAATAAATAAAATATATGTTACATCAATTAGCCTCTTCAAATTTTAATGAGATTAAAGAGTGCTGCTTTTTAAATTATATTTAGAATCAGGTGAAAATATCTTTAATTTCTGAAGTTAACTCAAGTTTTATAAATATGTCACAATGTCAGGTACTGCATTAAGGATCTGTATTATTTTCAGTCTTTACAATGGAGTGTATATTGGAACAGGATGAACCTCTCTAATCCGGCACTCCCTGGTCCGGCAACATCTGTGGTCCGGCATAGGTGCTGACTCCCTGAGTGCTCCGGGGCTAGAGCACCCATGTGGAAAAATTAGTGGGTTCAGAGCATTCACCAGCACCAAGCTCCCCACTCCCTCCCCTGCCTCTCACATGCTGGTGGCCTCACGCTTGCCAACTCCTCCTCCTCCCTCCCAGCGCTTCCGGAGCATCGCGAACAGCTGATTCACAACGTTCAAGCTCCAGGAAGGAGGACGATGAACTGGGGCTGGGGGATGGGACCCCAGGCGAGGAGCTAGCAGCTGGGGGCCGGCAGCCGGGACCCCAGGTGGCAGCGGGACCATGCTGGTGGGGGGGGGGCATGCTGGCCCACTGCCTGTGGGTGCTGCAGCACCCCCTACATACGTGCCTATGGAGACCCCCTGGCACTCTGCATTGACCTCCCGTGGTTCAGCAAATTCTCTGGTTCGGCACCGGTCAGGTCCCGAGGGTGCCGGACTAGAGAGGTACAACCTGTATTTACATTTTTCCAAATGTAAGTACTTTCAGTTACTGGTGTGCAGAGAAACTTGTGCCTAGTTCTAGTTTCAGTTTAGCTAGCAGGTACAGTGAGAATATTTTCTTCATTTGGACTAGTTCATTCAAAGCTGAGAAACTGATTGGGAGTTGAAAAAGCAGGAAAGCTTGTTTTCCTCTTCCAATCTATCAATAAAAACACGTGGGAGAGGATGAGATCTACTAATACTAAACATTTGAAGGACATGGGGCCAGACTGTCAAAGGTATTTAGGTTTCAATTCCTACGTGAGTTGAACCTACCCTACTTAACTGCTTTTGAAAATCTCACTAGGCACCTTTCTGCATCTTTAGGTGCCTAAATACCTTTGAAAATCTGTCGCCATGTCCTTCTAGTTTTTAGGATTAACTTCCCTTGGAAATGAAACTTAAATACCTTCAAAAATCTGGCTCATGGTGACCAGAAACAATCCATCAGTTGACTAACTACAGTTAATACTTCCTTTCTTTAACTAATCAGTTTTAAATGCAAAATATGTTTTGATAAACGTACTTGTTTTTCTTATGTATCAACATATTTAAGGTAGTTTTATTTAACTAACAATTTAAAAATGCTGGTTTTGTACTATTTAAATTTAATTCACATTTCCATCCAAATATATCTTGACACCAACCCTGAGTAAAAAATTGTAATCTACTAGAAAAGAATTGTATCATTCACCATTTTCTAATTGTAAAAATTAAGAATCTGAACAAATGTATGATAAACTATATAACTGATTAAATACATGTGTATAGATCTTGTACATCCTCCTGATTAGTAAGAAGTATGTCCAAATTTACTGTAAAGGCTATATTTGGTTGCAAATCAGCATGTTTTAATGGTTATACAAACCAATGAGAATGAACCTGTCTTTAAGAAAATAACTGAAGTACAAATGCAAAACAAGATTGAAATTAGTTATTAAATCAAGATTTCCTGCTTGCTGATTTAAATAATGAATAAAATCTGTGATTTAAATCAATCAGTCCTGGTATGGACAGCACTCGAGTTACTGGTAACATTCCACTTATAACCTGAGTTGACTTTACAGTGAAGTCAAGCCCACTTAGTATGCAATAGATGACATTTTTTCATTGTAATTTTTGTAATCCACTAAGCAATGTTTAATATATTTTGCATCAATATAAATATGCTTACGTTATTTAACTATGAAGTATGTTTTTTTCTCCCCCACTAACTATATTATTGGATGCTTGGTTCTTTGGCAATCATGCGCCAGCATACTCGACTAGACACTCAGCAGTATAAAAGACAACACAAAATCAATGGCAGCGACACATGCTATCTGCAGGGCTTTGAACACATGCTATAGTGGGACCAATTTCTCTATAATCTTCCACTGAAAATTCACTCAAGATATGAATTAAGAGCTCATAATATCTCTAGGAATACTATTTAAAGCAACCTCTCCCCCCACAATTACATAAAACAAGCAAGCCAAAATATGCTAATACATGGCTATAACATATTATAACAGGTAAAGTTGACTTTATTCCACAATCTCTTCTTCAAGAGTGCTCTTTGTGCTCCTGATATTATAATGGACCATCTCTAATTATTTAATTTGGTTATTATTCTACCAAATTTTTAAAGATTTGTTATAATGAAAAATGTTGAAAAGGACTAAGAAATAATGTACTTTCTGGTCAAAGGAAGTTAGAAAGTAATCTTGAAAAATATAAATCTTTAAAATTAACTGTATATCATAAATCAATATTCAGTTGCATATAAATCACTTGTTTCTCAGAGCAGTGAATTAAAATAGGTGCCCTCCTGCCACTTCTTTGATATCAGCATCTGTAATCCCTGTGATGTGGGATTACAAAAAGGTTTATACACCACACATAGAAATGGCATAAACTTGGGACATTATGCAAACAAAATATTCTTTTTTGGGAGCCATTAACAACAGTCTATAGTTGTAAAAGGGTTATATGTAAAATTGTCACATACATTATATAAAAGAAAACTAACAACTGAGACAGCTGATTTACTTAGTCTACATTCCATTGGAATCAGTGGAAAATTCGAGAGAGTATGGTCTGCAGAATTATTTAAAGAAATAAATTTGACAATAGACTAATTATATGGAATAGGACAAACTGGTTTAACTAATCACTAGGGAAATTTGAAAACAAAGAAATCAGGAAATAGAAAGGTAAGAAGTCCTGTGATATTTATTTCAGGAACATACATTTTTACTAAATCTTGATTTCCATAGGGGTTATTTTACATTCTTGATACAAGCAACAGATACAACCTACTCGTGGTATTTGGCATCTGAACACAGAGGTTAAAAACTTGATTAACAACAACAAAAATAACATTTCAAGTAACAGCTGTCCCAGTAACCTAATGTCTAACAACAACATTATGAAGTTATTTTAATAACGGTGTTTTAAAAATATGGAGCATTTGGCTTGGCATAACACGTCAATCATATACAACATGCAAGCAATTAAACTGTTCAAATTCAAGCTGCAGAGTAGCAAAAGAAGCACAGAAGTATCTGAAAACACACTGCTTTTTGAAAACAAATACGTAGTACACCACAGAACCTATAAGAGCTGACTAGTGGATCTTATATAACGTGCTCTTTCATTAGGTTTCCTGATTAAATAGCATCTGGTTAAATTAGCATTAGATACTAAGACAGCTTCCATTTATTTACCCAACTCTTTGCCAGTAAAAATAAGGCTGAAAGGTGCAAACTGCCTTAACAGCCCAAAATAAGGATCAGACTTTCAGATGCTAATTAGGAATATACTGTGGTGCCTCACTTTGAGGTTGAAAATAGAGTAAATATCTTAATATTTTGGGAGTGAGATGAGGAGTTGGAAGCAAGGTATCTTTGCTGTAGACTATACTGAACTGGGAAGAAATAAAAAAGGCACTAAAAATCTATTATAAATTCATACAAAGTAGGTAAATTTCAAATAGAACCTTCAAGTGATACATTTTCTACCTTACAGAAGGAGCCCCAAACCAACTAAAATTATCTTTTCAAGACAAGTCTGCTACCTAAATCATAGGCAACTTTCAACCAGATAAAATGATTTATGATTAGAAGCTACTGATTTTTTTAAAGCCAACTATGTGGTTCCTGTACTTCCGTTTGAGTTTTGTAAATACTTGTCAGTTTGATACTTGCAAATATTTTAAGTGTCAGGCCAGTAAATTGCAGCATTGCATGTGAAAGCTGTGTCATTGTTGACAGTAGCTCTAGGAAAGAAGTCTGAAGTATCTGTGGTTGTGCAAATCTGAAATGTAAAGAAGTTGCCAACCTCCTCTCCCCCATATAGCGACCTATGTTAATTGTGTGTTATCCTGTTTTTGAGACACTGAAAGTAGGTTTCAAAACTGGATTTAGGTTCACCCACTCTGACAAGGGCCCTTACTATTTGCTTCCATTTATTTCCAAAAAAATGTAGCCTATTCTTACAGTGCAAGTCTGCTTTGAAAAATGACTGCATGAAACTGGCATCTTCTAACTCAATGGATCTGCTACTAATCTGCACTGAGATTCATACTGACTTACTTCAGTGACAAAAATAGAATTAAAATTTGTTTTTTTACTTCTATTTACACTCTCACTAGCGTGACAATATAGCAATATTTTTTCTTTTCTATCAATAGAATTGTTTAGTAACTGCACTATAATTCCTATTATTCCTGCAATATAAAACCAGTTATCAATCCGATCTATCTGATCCAGGGAACAGGAAGAAAAACCCAGGTTTTGAGCTCGAGCAAACCTAGTCACAGTTAGTTTTTTATTTATATGCATTTCATATTGAAATCAAGACAAAAACATGTAATCTTACAACACCATTTTTACAGTCACTTTTCTGAGCAGAACTGCCCTTTTTAAAGCCTCAATCTAGGAACTGTGTGGTGAGGTTATCTTCCCAGGTTCTTGGTGTAAAGGATAAGACTAATACCAGTGTGGCATTTACTTTTTTAACGTGCATTTCATTCACACGTTGATCAATACTCCAGCAAAGTAAATGGCAAATGAGTTCAAAGAAAATAATGGTTACCTACTATAAGCTAAATGAAGAAGGCATGGGTTCATTAGATGCAGATAATGAAAGGCATAAATAGGCACAACGAAGGTCTCCAAGTACTTACCAAGGGGTGGAAAAGAGCGGACAGGGCTTGTGTCCCTGCTACTTTCACGGCTGGCCTCCCGACTGCACCCCTGACTCACACTAGGTCGAGGAATGCGGCTGCCTCGTGCTAGTATGATTCAGTGTACAGACAAACAGCAGCACAGAAAGGGAGAAGACACAAGAAAAGTTGTAGTTTTAATGTAATTTTGTTTGTGCAATAAATCAGATCAATTATGTATTTCTAAGAACAGACGTTGCCTCTATTCATGTAGCATTACAGTATTATCTTCTTTCTGACATTTTATGAATTTGACGAATTGCACTAAATGCTGCCAGTTCAGATGAAAGTATCTTCGCCACAACATAAACTAACGTGAATTTGGAACCTCTCTAAAGAAAGTTGAAAAAATGCTTGAAAAGGATGGTAACTTTTTTCAGATTATAGTTGAAACATTAATCAGTACAGCCTGTGAAGAGCATACAAACAGAGTAGTTCATTCAATAACTTACTCAGTTTAGTTCCAGCTAATCTTTCTTTTCTAATGTGGAAATAAATGCTGCTTTTGCTACACTAGTGTACAGTACAACAATCTATTTAAAAAGGGGGGGAATAATTCAGTTTAAGGTAAAGGTAAGGTAAAACTAAATAAAAATACTATAGAAAACCAGCTTACGGATAGCAGTAACCTCAGTTTTATTTATTGACATATTTCAAGAGAGTATAGATAATTGAGTTATACCATGAGGCTGTACTTGGGGGAAATATGAAGCATAATACATTCATTTTTACACTACACTACACTACACTACACACACACACACACACAATAAAACAAGTATTTCAAGGACGCTAATTGTCTTGATGTCTTCTTCCCAGTTTTCAGTGTTTCCAGGCTGCCATAAAGATTTTGAGGGTTCCCAACAACGTTGGATTTTTATAGGGGCTCCTATTCACTTGCTCCTTCCACACTTCCTTTTCTTTGCTTAAGAGTAAGCATGGAGCATAGATCAGTGCATTCAGAGAACAGCAAACTTCATAGTCCCACCTTAAATTTGAAACTGTTGCAAATCATAGGCCTCCCTTGGGAGTTGGCTTTGCGGGTCCCCAGTCAGATTTTAGAGTTTCAATTATATGTTTTCCAGCCCCACCATCTGTAACTAGGCACCAAATGCATAAAGTAACACCATCTGTAAAGAAACCTAAAAAGGTTACTTGATAGTTCTTACCTACTGACAATCTAGAAGGACTTGCTTCTCTACTGCATCCTTGGCTTCGTGGGATCTTGCTCCGTTTTTGTGCTGTTGCTGGATTGACTAATATTCTCTGAACCCCTGTGTTCATAGTTGAAAGTGCAGTTGTAGTCAAAACTCTTCCAGGAGATCCAGATCGACTACCAGCTGAAGGCAAAATAAGTAAAAATAAATAACTTCAGATAAATAGCGAGGATAAAAAAACAGAAAAACAACATGTTTGACTGAAATGGTTTGAAAAAAATAGTTTGGAAGAACTTACAAGATAAAATGTAAAATTTGAGAAAAATCTGTAAGATCTACATCTAGTTTTAAAAATAAAGCACCTCTCACAAGGTATAGGTATAAAAATATCCCTGCAAGTCTGAAAACTCTTATCATGGTATTTAGGACTATATGAGCACCATAGCAAGCAATTGTAACCGCACACCAAAAATATTATTCCTTTCACTAGTATTTACAAAAGCATCCAATATTCCCGAATGTGAAGATGGAGAGGTTACTTACCTTACAGCAATTTGAGTTCAAGAGGTTTTGTCCCTATGGGTGCTCCACCATAGGATGTATGCAAGCCCATGCATCCTCGATTGGAGACTGCAACGTAGTGTCTGTGAGCCCATGCCTGTACAAAGCAGTTCCTCCTGCTCTGAACGAGTGCATCTTGAGAGATGTCAGCCGGTCACCACTCAGTTCCTTCTTGACAGCGAAGCTGAATTCCACAGCAGAGGGGAATGAGGGTGGGAGGTGGAGCACATTTAAGGACAAAACATCCCAAAGAACTCAAGTTACTGTAAGGAAGTAACCTTTCCTTCTCCTTCGAGTATATGTCCCTATGGGTGCTCCGTTGTAGGAGACACCCAAGCAGAAGCTCAGTGAGGAGGTAAGTCCAGGACACACACAAAAACCACATCACCAAATGAGTTATCTCGGGAAGCAGATAAAATGAAGCAATGTTTGGCAAAGGCATGCACAGAAGACCAAATAGGAGTCCTGCAGATTTCTGCTCTGGCAACATCCTTCAGTGAAGTTACAGATCTGGACTGAGCACTAATGGAATGTGCTGTTACTCTGTGAACACCAGCATTTTCAGAGCAGGTCAAGATGCATTCAAAACCCACTTAGTTTGTGTGGAAATCGGTTGACCCTTCATCCTATCTGCAATTGATACAAATAGTCTGAGAGATGCCAAGAATGGTTTAGATAGAAAGCAAGGGCCCTCCTGACATTCAGTGGACAAAGGTTTATTCTCTGGCGGCACAAGGTTTGGGCAGAAAACTGGTAGGTGAATTTCCTGGTTAATCTCATATTCCAAGGGAGGAATATAACATCTGGGAGGAAGCAAGGATAGGGATGTAATATAATCTTGTCTTTGTAGAAGGTGGTACATGCTGGGTCCACCATGAGATCTTCCCACTCCCCCATTCACCTTGCTGAGGTGAAGGCAATTAGGTACAAAATTTTGGGGAGAGAGAGCAGGTTGCCATTGGTTTGAAGGGGGATTTTTTTTAGGGCATTCAAAATCAGTTGAAGTCCCACTGGGGAGCCAGCTGTCGAATGGCAGAAGCAAGTTGTATATGCCCTGAAGAAATCTGATTGCTGTAGGGTGTGGCAAAGACTGAGAAGCCCCGGATAGATGAGTGGAAGGCTGTGATGGTGACAGATGCACTCTGATAGAGCTAATTGAGAAACCCTATGTGTCTAATTCAAATAGGTAGCCCAGGATGTTAGAAAGCAGAACTTCCTAGCCTTTAGAAGATGTGAGGGAGCACAATGATTGGAAGTGCTTGCACCTTTGCAAGTTTTATGAGTACTAGGCTTTCTACTAGATAAGAAAACTGACTGAACTCTAGCCAAAAAGGTCAATTCCATGCTTGAGAGTCACCGAGCAGCCAGGTTCTCAGATTCAGAGAGAAGGGGATGGGATCGATGAATACCTGTGCCAATAGGTCTTTTGTAATAGGAAATCTGAGGGGTGTTACCTTCCCCAAGAGGTGGATGAGGTTTGAGTACCACACCTGTCTCAGCCAAGCAGGTGATACGAGGCTAGCTCATGCTCCTTCTCAGTGCAGCTTGAGAAGAGTCTTGAGGATTAATGGTATAGCTAGGTAAGCACAAAGAGGGTACAAGGCCATGTTGTTATCAGGGCATTCCCCAGAGAGTCATAGGCCTGGTCTACACTTACCCCCCCAATTTGAACTAAGGTACGCAACTTCAGCTACGTGAATAATGTAGCTGAAGTCGAAGTACCTTAGTTCGAACTTACCTCGTTCCACACGCGGCAGGCAGGCTCCCCCGTCGACGCCGCGGTACTCCTCTCATATAGCTGGAGTACCGCAGTCGACGGCGATCACTTCCTGGTTTGACTTATCGCGTCCAGACAAGACGCGATAAGTCGAACCCAGAACTTCGATTCCCAGCCGCCGAACTAGCGGCTGGGTGTAGACATACCCATAGCTGTAACATCCATTGCAATAGAACAGGAAACATTTCATTTTGTTCAGGGTAGCAAAGAGGTCTACCCCGGTATACCTCAGGTCTGGCAGATCCTGTGGAAGACAGAGTCCTTGAATTCCCATTCATGATCTCGCCAGAAGTGCCTGCTCAAGGAGTCTGCGATTGTATTGTGGAGATCTGGTAAACAGGCTGCCGATATTTCTATCTGATGAGAGAGAGACCAGATTCCAGCCTTAATAACTATGCACATAAGGACTGGGGTCTTGCTCTGCCCTGGCAATTGACTTAATACATTGCTACCCTATTGTTCAGCATTACTCTGAGTGACTTTGTATGGTGTGAGAGAAGTGTTGGCAAGCATATCAATCTGTTTTTAACTCCAGACACTGGTTTGGAGCACTGATTTCTGTGCTAAGTCTCCCTGTAGATGAGCTCCCATCCCAGAGATGCGTCTATTGTGAGGGTCTTCAAAGGTGCTGGATACAAGAATGGAGTTCCAATACAGACCTTCCATGTGTCCTTCCATCATGTAAGACAGTCCAAAACCTTCTAAGGCATTGTGATATCTTAGGAAAGGCTATGTCAGTTTGGAATATACACTGTCCTTATCCACGTATAGAAGCAACCTGAGGTGCATCCTCACATGGGGTGTCACATACCTGGAGGCTGACATGTGGCCTAAGACCTACAGACAAATTCTCACTGTTTGTGGGCTGCACTGCAATGTTGAGCTTTGGTTGGATAGGGTGAAGAATCTCTCCTCAGTAGGTAGGCTCTTGCTGTTGTGAAGTCCAGAGTAACTCCTATAAAGTCTCCTCTCTGTACTGCAGATAGTGCGTATTTTTTGTGGTTGATGCAGAGTCCCAAAGATGGGAATAGTGTTTAATGGTCTGGACACTGCTGCCTGGACCTCTGTCCACCAACTCTTGGACTTCCTCTAGTGGGATTTGAAGTGAATCCACTAGCCTTTTCATGAGATCCTGGAAAGCTAAAATCATCAGCATAGGAGAGCAGTGGTGGCAATAGCACCTCATCTGGAGATGAAGAGGACTTCAGAGATGAAGGTGAGATCTCAGCCTGAGACTCTTGCTCCTCCTGTACATGGTTTTATCGTCCAGGGCTGTAAACAAGTCAACAACTGTGATTGAGGCAGTCTGCAACATAGAACCTAATGTACTGGGACTTGGAGGGGGAGAAGCATACACCTCCAGCGCTAGGGCAAGCTCTATTAACAGGAGCTTAAGTCTAGTCTTAGTCTAGTCTTCCTGTTCTCTTGGATCTGCCTTTGAAATCCAGACAGACCTTGCATTTAGAAGGGTTGTGACTTGTGAGAGTCCCCCCAAACACCGCAGGCAGCTGGAGTGTCCATCAATATGGGGAAAGTGCTTGTGGCAAGTCTCAACCCCTGGTTCCAACACAGAACAAAAGATCAAAGAAGAAGAAGGGAAGAAATTCTCCTGCCCCCAACCAACATAACAGTTGCTATGCAAAATAAAGGTAACAATGAAAATAGATAAACTAAAAGAAATTACTAAAACAAATAAATGAAGTAAAGAATTCACAAAGTGAAGGTGGGAAGCTGAATACATCAGACTCTTTCGAGCCGCAAGTGGTTGAAAAGGAACTTTGTGATGGCAGGCTTGCAACTCCTTATGTTCCCTGTTCAAAGCACAAGGCACCTCTCTGTGTATGCCCACAGACACTTCACAGTCTTCGATTGAGAGCGCACAGGCATATGCACATCCTATGGTGGGGCACCCATAGGGAATATATAGTAGAACAACAACTGTGTGTTCATTTTTAAAATTATATGGGACTGTTGGTCACATATTGCAATTTGTGAACCACCAGTCGTTAAACCAAATAGATAATTTTCTTCTGTAACATCCCTGGACTGATCACCTTGATTTTCATAACACAACAAATAACTATCGTATTTTCTAAACATGTAAAAGATGAAGTAGGCCCTGGTATTTCTTCAAATCCTACTCTCTTGGAGCCCAATCCTCTAACACTGACTGTAGACAATGGAAAGACTCCCACTGACTTCCATGGAAGTTATTCTAAAAATTCAATTAAGAAAGCTTTTTTAAAACTACAATTTTCAACCTTTGGAACACATTATGAAAAAACACACCTGATCAAGATGTTAAAATTCTTTGTTGAAGTATCTTAGCAAATTTTATTCATAAAAAATATACAATTTATTAGAAATTTGATCTTCAATTTTAGCACATTGCATCCATTGGAAGAAATTGGTCACTTTTACCTAGACTATCTTCATCCTTTGAAGTTTCAGCTGTGGATATCTTACATTTTAATACCTAACAAATGGTCCATTCATATCCCTTACCGATACTCTAATTAAAACTCTATTTTATAGCAATAATCAGTTTAATTATATGTCATTGTTGCCAAATACAGAATAAAAACAATTTCACCTAAAAATCTTAATTAAAAAGCAAAGCTATTTTTAACCAAAATCAGCTCAGTGAAATGAAGCCTATAATAATTTTCCTAGCCCCATTTAAAAGAAAGAAACAGTGTAAGCATAGCAACGCTGTAAGATGTCTATCAGCTTAAGTAAGTTTCATAGTACTCTTACATTACAAGAACTACCAGTGTCAACCAAAAAGCAAAGATGCTGTAACAATAAAAAGTCCACAGGCATATTTTCGGACCACAAGATCATT